AAGTGAAAAAACTAAGTAGTTGAGTATAATTAAAGTGGCCTGAAAGCTAAAGAAATAAGTCTAATTTTGACATGTAGAGTCTTTGTCTTAGGAAAAATTATACATTTAAAAATTTGGGTAAAAGATTATTTTTTATGTATTAAGAAAATAATTTGTTCTATTTGGGATGATTTTTAAAAGTGCAACTACCATTTCAACTGTGATTTAATGTTTGAAAAAAAATTAGAATGGAATAAAAAGTGTGTATGTATGTAATACATATAATGGACAGAACAATTAATGCCTAAGTATTATCAGAAAGGGAAAAAAAGAGGCAGGCTATCTAAAACACACAGAAAATGAAAGTGTAAGAATCAGATGGCTCAGATAATGCACACATCTAATTCATCTTTGACTGCAGTGAAATGGTCAGTCAATGACATCACTGTGCCAACCACAAAAAACTCCAGGCCCTCCGAAAAAATAGTTTTCAAAGCCCCAAGGAAACCTAAGCAGTCTCTGCAATTTTTTTTCCAGTTTATGAAAATTGGATTCCTATAAAAGAAAAATGGACCATTTTTACTGCAACAAAAACTGATTTGTAAAAGCTGGAAGCAGTTTAAAAATACTCAACATGAGGTTCTTGTTAGTCTTGAAAAGTAAGAGTTATAATAAAAAAACGGTCCAAAAATATGGTACGGATATATTGTATATAAGGGGAAAAAAAGCTAGTCCTACTCCTATTATTTTTAATTAGCTTCAATAGCAAGTTCCACTTTACTTTCTAACACCAGTTCAAATTTTTTTGGGTGGGGGAAGATTTACATCTAACCCTCTGGGGCTGGCAACTCTATAGCTAATGCCTTGGAGCCCTAATGTATTTTGCATCACCTCTAAATGTTGGGAAATTCTGGCGCCAAGAGGTTCAAACTGATAGTGACACATGTCTAAAACCCAGGATTTGCTGTCCAACTGCCAGTATCTATTTTATCAAACATTCAGTCTCTCCTGCAGAATAGGATAGAGGAGTTTAACAATTTTCGCTGTTTCCAATTAAACTGCCTTGCTATATTACAAAAATGCAGGCATTCAGATTAAGAAGGATCCCCTGACCTGGATTTTAAGAAAAATACCAATTTAAATGGTTTAAACAATTCTTTAAATCTGGCTTAGTGTCCTCATTTTAACAGATTTGTCCTATTTCTAAACTTTGTCATTTTAGGAATACAGTGAAGATTTTTTTCTTTGAACAATTAAGAAAAAACCCTCTTATCACACAAATGAGAAATTTATTCCTTACCTTTCAGGAACTTGGGATCATCTACTTTACCTGAACCCACTAAAACTAATATGTTAAAAACAAAAACAAAAACACAAGGACTGAGAAGTTGTGAGTACTGCCTGAAGTGTATGCCATTTGGCACTGTCATACCATTTCATGTTCTCGAATCATTAAAAACAATGGCAAAGATAAAAATTCACATTTTATACATTAATTTAATAAAATTCTTCTTCCAGATAACTTGATGGTGCTTATTTATCAAAAACATATGATAAAGAACAGGGAAAAAATTGTAAGTCATCTGGACAATTTCCCTGATTTAAAGAAAAAAAACCCCTCAAAATAGGTGACATTTCCTCTTTTTACAAGTATTTAAAGAACAACTTTTTCCATATTCAGAATTCAATCAAGACATTATACTTTCATATTTCAGAGTTAACTCAAATTCTTCATGTTGCCCATTGAGGCTGCATATTCTCGTCTTTCCAGTGGAGATAAAGAATAAGAGTCCAATACCCTCTGTTCACATTTCTCAAAAAATATTCCTATTTTGTTAAAGTAAAAAGTTTCAAAAGTAGTATTTTAAGTTAATGTTATTTGATCTAATAGGCTTTAAATTTACCTACTGGATATCAGAAGCCAAAAGGTAGCCATTAGTTTAAAATTTCACATCTGGGACATTATGCAGCAAAATAATCATGATAAATATGTGAATAATTATATAGCAATTTAAAATGCTTAAATCTTTGCAGAATTAAGAAGTAAGCCAGAGTTAAGGTCTGGTTTGTTACTATCAAAGAAGAGCACAGAAATCCTATTAAAAAAGAATCCTAATCAAGCAAAAATGACTGAATAAAAGAGTAAATGATGACAGAGTAGGTTAATAAAACAAAATGTAGCAAAAAGCAAAGATGAGGATTTGGCTATGCTGTATACCTTCTCTGTATCTTTGCTGATACAATTTTGAGTCCTTTTTTATTTGATCTATTACCTACAAAAATGCTGAGGAAGTTCATTGTAAATTATTTCTTCTGGAAATAAAAAGAGAAAATGATATAGTTATGTGATTTAAGGCCTGAAAAATTACAAAAGACAAGAGATGAAAGACTTAGCTTTCTCAGGGGAAGTTCTTTTTACAGGTCAAACAATTCTCAAATCAAAGTGATTATAATAAGTATTTCACTCCTTTGATTTGAAAAAATAGTCTAGTACGTTTTATTAGCTAATCTTTTAAGCTACCATTACTGTGATGTGTCTTTTATGATGTAGAAGAAGCTACTGAAATATTTTTACCCTTAAGAAGGAACTGACAGTACAAAGGTAAGATTTCCCAAAGTCATTTTATAAAAAATGACTTTTTAAAAAAAGTTATTAATAGAGCTGAGGAATAAAATCCTGAAATCTTTGGACACAGTATATAATTTATTCATTGGGCACCACCATCTCTTAAAACATTTCTATTGTTTATAAAATGACCATTTTTGAAAACCAGAATTGAGAGATTTTGCTGACTTAAGCTCATATGTTCACTGTTTTGAATAATCAATTTTAATGAAAGTGTTCAGGTTCTTAATTATAAAATTATATAAAAAATGAAAGCAACTCTTTATGAAAAAAATAATGCATTATTATATAATCAGTAATAAGTATTATAATCAGAAATAAGACTGATATTAGTATCAGTCTACTTTTAGATCAGTAAATATCTGCAGGAGATACCAAAATAATGTTGTTGTTCATAGTGAAACATAAATGGCACAATAATTAATCTTATAATGATATCAGCAAAAATCTTCATATAAGTAATCAGGATTATACATCCAAATCACTTCTTCCTTTACCAATTTTATTTCAGAAAACATTTTTACAGTGAATTGTCATATGATGGAATATAGTAGTTACAATGATTAAACAGATCCTATATTTACATAATTACAGCTAATATAGACAAAAACATCAGAAGCAATCAAAAGCCATATGCTTTCTGATATTTAACCATGTTTAACTTTTATGTCCTAAGGCAAGGAATTTCTTACCATGACAATCCAGTATACCAATGAAACTATTTCTGAAGTGTTATTATTTATTTAAAGTCTGCTTACAGAACACTGAACTATATATAAGGTTATACTGCATTTCATATAATACTCCTAAGTTTTCAACATGTTTTTAAACTTTGGGTCACAAATATCAATGAATTGTGAAATCACATAGAAGGTTGCAATCTGTACTTCAAAAATGAAATGGAATAGGTTAAAACAATATATAATTGTGCATTGCAAGGAGTAAGATTAATTACCATGTACACTTTTTTTGTTTTACTTATATGTATAGGTATATATGTATTAACAAATATATAATCATATCTGGGTGTGTGCACTAGGTTGCAATATGAAATGTATTTCTTAATGTGAGTTGTGGTAAAAAAAAAAAAAAAGACAAAAAAACCACTAAAACTCATGATGGTATACCATGTCTCCTTCCAAATTAGGTATCATGTTATACTAGAAAGAACCTGCGCTTTGGAGTTCAAATTTTTTTCTCTACCACCCTATTTATGTGAGTTGGTTATTTAAACTTAAATTATTAGAGCCTTTATTTCTTCATTTGTAAAATGGCCATAATAATACTTGCTTTAAAATATTGCTGTGCAGGTTAAAATAAATGATGAATGTTCATAAAATAGATTATATATGATAGGTTGTTAATATTGGTTGCAATAATTATTGGATTAAAATGGCTTATTATAAGTGACCATTTAAGAATTACAACATATTGGTCACAACTGCATTCTTTCATGCAAAAAATACATTAATACACCCTTCAAAGAGAAAATAATTTATATTAATGAAAAGTAGAAGAAATTTTAGAAGAGGATATTAAATGAACAATTAAAAAAAAAGTCTTGGGGGCAGATAAGACTCCACCTATATATTAAATGAGTGTAATGCAAAATTTCAACAGTCAGACTAAATTAAAATATTGACCTCTAAGAATGATATGAAGGGGGAAATATTGTGCATACTTTCTGATAAAATTTTAAAAATCTATGCCACCAGTAATGAAGCGGGAAATCTGCTGGGAGAAACTTTATTATAATTGTAGAACAATGCTGGCATGCCATATTTTTTTTCTTTAAACATTTTATTTGAATGCCATTCAGGGAAGGATAAATAGTCTTTAATTTAACCAAAGTATCAACTTTTTTTTTGTATACAGATTTTTTAATTGATATTTTTAGTTGTTTTCCAAAAAAGATAGTAACCATTTATATTTCCACCACATCCATGGCATCAATAGACATTATCATTTATTTTCTATTTTTATAGGCACATAAGAGCTATTGAGAACTGTCATAAGACTTTTTAAAATAGTGATGCTGAATACTTATTAAAATGCATGTACTGTGTTCTTATATTTTACTAGCTTTAGAAAGCACTCAGGAAACAATCTGAGTTCATTAATTTGGCAAAAGTACTGTCTACTTCAATGGACAGCCTGTATTTTTCAAACAATGAAGCATTTTTTTTTTCAGATCTGCGATCTCCATTTTTTTTAATATAGAAAAATGTGACTTCATAGGTTAATTTAAAATCAAACTTGCATGTTCTTGAAAATATTGAGGGCTTTTTTTCCTCTTTAATGAAAATAGAGAAATGGGGAGTGAAAAGAATTCTAGTTTTTCGAAAACAAGGGAAACATCAATATATTAGATTTTTCTTGAAAGACTATTATTTACCTGCCAGGAAATGAATGCTGCCCAACTATATCTCCATTTTGAAGGTGATAATCATTGAAGAAATCTGGACTTATAGCTCCTTCAGAGGCAATTAATCCATCTAGAAAGAAGGAAAATTGGTAACTAGTGAAACATACTGGTAGGGAATAAAAAGGAAACTATTCTATCAAGCAACACAATAGAAAATTATCTATTTAATCTGGAAAGAGAAATGTTAGCATGACATGCTACTCTCTCTGGTAATATAGAAGACCATACATAAGTATTCACAATGATGAAGCAAAAGAACTGAACATTTATTGAACAGCTACTATGTGGTGGTAATACACTAACACAGAGACAAGACAATCTCTGCCTTCAAGGGATGTATAGCCTTGTGTAAAAAACAAAAAAAGGGGTGAGGTGAGGTAATGTGGGATAGTCAGGATGGTCCAGGCTAAGGAAACAGAATGAGTAAGGAAACATTAAACAGCATGGAATCAGTAAAGAGCAACATTTTATACCCAGACAGCTTCATTTGTGTAGTATAATTAAGAAATTAGAGATTTCAAGTAAGTAAATTTCTAAATAAGCAATGCCTGACACTTTCAGTGCCAACCTTAAAAAACACACACAAACTTGGGTTAGCAATATTTGTAAATATATTTTACATTCTCTGTGTTTTTAGAAAATACATTGAACTTATTTTATATTACTTCTTGATAATTTAATCTTTAATATCCATTACTGTATAATTGTGCCCCAGGCTATTAGCTACATTTGACTGCCTATGCTAATTGGCTCTACACCACTATGCTTTCCAGTTCTTTTTCTTTGTTTATAGAGTGCTCCTTTTCCATTATCTAAGTCTTTATTATTAATTCCTGCTGATTTTAGAATGATACTACTTTCTTATTTATTCTAAGAAACCAGATAGCCTATTACTGATAGAATTATGAATAAGTTATGAATAAGGAAAGAATTCTAGGGAAAAAGCTCTAAGTGATGGCTTCAGGGCTAACCTATGCATTGGAAGAAATGTATTTCAGTCTATGGCTTTTGTAGTAATTATTTAGAAAGCTCTCAGGCCTAAGTTTCCTTTTCTGAAAAGTGTTCTGGGTTGTTAAGTGATCTATAGATAAATGTTGGCTAGGTCATACTCACAACATTGTTTATAAAGTTGGCACAAGGTAAGCAGATTATTTAGTCACCAGATAACCATTTTAGACCTACTGTTTGCATAATAATACTTTGCTAGGTTCTGTGGGAAATACAAAAAGTTGTTTCTGTTTTCAAGAATTTTAGATTAAGTGAAATATAAGACACTTAGGATGCAATTAAATAATACACTTCATTAATAAACGTTCTACAACAGGAATGAATGCATGTACTGAATGAGTGTTGGAGGCAGAGGAGGGTATAAAGTGATACTGTGTTTTGTAGGGGTTAGAAAAATCTAACTGGGGAGGAATGAGGCAGAGGTGTAACTGGTTTGAGTCTTGAAAGACAGGCAGCAATTAAATGACAAAATCTATTTGAGGAGTACAGTTATTACAAATCAAGTGAATGGTAATGTTAAGTAATAAGTGTTGGTAAGTAAGTAGGTGATTTGTCTTTCCATATGACTCCTGTACCACTTATTTGTTACACGTCATCTACTAAAGATTTGCATTATTATATAATTGTTGAATTGCTAACGAATGTCTTTGTTACTTTAGTGAATTTTAAATATTTAAGAGGTAAAAGTATTTAATAGTCCATTATCCATGTCCTTGAAAAGTTAATAAATCAAAAGACCAGTTAAATCCAAAAAAGCTACAAAAAATGAAATTATGGAAAAAACCAAGACCCAATAGATTGAGAGCTAAGCACTTAGAATATATTTTACACATATTAGGAGTTTGGCTAAAATTAACAAGGTTAAGACCACAGAAATTAATTAAGTTCCTCTGTTAAATGAAAACCAAATAATTGAAGATCAAGGTTTAAGAAATCTGCCAATATCAGTGGCACACAACTAAGTACAATGCCAAAATAAAATATTTATCACACTTTGAAAGTGAATATGAAGATATTCAGCATGCCAGTAGAACAAAGATTCTAACACTCAGAAAATAAATATAACCAAATAAAACGATACCTGAATTATATTTTAAAAGTTTATACATGAAACATGACCTAATGAAGTAAGCCAGATTAAGAAGAAATTAAACGAAAAATTGTCAATTTTTCAAGACCCTCATTTTGATCTGGAGCTCCCACTGTCTTCAAAAGGAATACAAGGAACTACAAACTAGGAGCTCATTAAATAGATATCAAATTAAAAATGTCTGAGTTTAAAATTTCAGTCAGCAATTTTATAAATCTAGAATACAATTAGAATAATATAATAAATCAGACATTATGTAAGTTGGACATTTATACTTCTGAAATTTTTAATAATTGGAGAGCACAGCCATTCCATTCAGTAAGCTATGGCCTCTACTGTGTCCTTTAAAATGTCTTGACAAAATTTAGGCAGCTCTGCTATATGGGCAATCTTTCTTTACTAGAATGAAGAATAAAAATTAAATTATACAATAACCAAAATCCTCAACTCAAACACCTCAACTTTTTTGGAATTATCTGTTTTTTAGCATTCTGCATCCAAAATTAATTCTTTTATAGAAGTAATAAAAAGGAATTGTATATTCTTGACAATCAAGTCCAGATAAATCTAAGAGTGTCCTAAAGCTCCTACTCTAACCTTGATTCAAAGATAGCAACAAGGAACCAAAAAATTTATGGAACATTTAAACTACCAGAGAACAAACAGAAGACAGAGATGATATATACCAGAGCACTTTTTAAACTGTGGAGCATTATAAACATTTAGGTTATTAAATTATATGAAACCTTTTAAACCACAGTTATACAATACACCTTTTTGAGGTGCTCCCAGTAATGAAGATAAATATGGCTATAAGTAAAATGGGGTATGTTCTGAAACAAGGATGAAATCAAAGCAAATTTATTGTTAGCACAGGTAATTTATCAACCTTCTGATTTTTGCAAGTCAGTTGCCAAAAACTGGTTTATAGATATGATGAATAAATGTAAAAAAAAAAGAACTCAGTACCTTCTTATGTATTGTTACTGAAATAAACTTTATTTTTTAAAGTCAAATGAAAATATAATATTGGGCTCTTTAGTGAACTAGCCAAAAGTAAGGCTGTGACTGTATGGGAGAAAAAAGATATTGATAATGAAGAAAATGAGAAAAACAAATTACTAAAATAGAAAAATTATAATTCATTGGGTTATAGCTAGTAAGAGATATCACAGAAACATATAAGTAAATGAAAACTATGATTTTATAATAATTGAGACAGAAACAAAGCATTGTAAGCTTTATATTCCAGAAATATATATTCACATATTAAATGCTAAGAATAAGATTCAGCAAGTTGGTGAACAAACAACAAAAAAGTAAAAAGTCATTTAATTATATAATTATACTTCCTTTATGGATAACGTGCTTAAAGCAAATATGATCATTTTTATGATGGAAGAGTAAATTACTCAGTGACTACAATCACAATAACTTTAGACTCTAAGGAAAAAGGATGCTAGCTTCCTATTTTCAGATGACAATACTAAGATCCTTTTTTTTTATTTTTTTTTATTTTTTTTATTTTTATTTTATTTATTTATTTATTTATTTATTTATTTATTTTTTAAGATCCTTTTTAAAAATAAAAGCAAGAGGGAAACATACATTCTGACATATTTAACAGTTTGAAAATATAGAGGGCAATATTAATGACTAGGAAGCAGCAAATGCTATTTCCTTTTTTTACTCTTATTTTTTTATTTTTTATTTTTTAAAGATTTTATTTATTCATGAGAGACACACACACCCACACACACAGCGAGAGAGAGACAGAGAGAGAGAGAGAGAGAGAGAAAGAGGCAAAGACACAGGCAGAAGAAGCAGGCTCCATGCAGAGAGCCTGACGTGGGACTCGATCCTAGGTCTTCAGGATCACGCCCTGGGCTGAAGGCGGCACTAAACCGCTGAGCCACCCAGGCTGCTCTATTTTTTATTTTAAATTCTATGAACATATAATGCATTATTTGTTTCAGAGGTAGAGGTCAGTGATTCATTAGTCTTATATAACACCCAGTGCTCATTACATCATGTGTTCTCCTTAATGTCCATCACTCAGTTACCACATCCCCCACCTTTTCCCCTCTAGTGACTCTCAGTTTGTTTCCTATGATTCAGAGTCTCTTATGGTTTGTCTCCCTCTCTGATTTTGTCTTATTTTATTTTAAAGTAAAAGATAAGACCCAGGGAATCACAGACCCTTTAGCTTAACCTCTATGGCTGAAAAGCTACTAAGGTTTTTATCTCTGATAAAAACAGCAGCCTAAAGGGGAACCAGGGACTTAAATAAGATGGCTCAAGTGTTCAAATGTATCTGCAGTTTTACAAATCTATCTTGTGTTTCTGAAGACACAACTGCACACAATGAAAGACATATTATCTGATTTCCATGACACATATTAAGAGATCCCACAATACCACAAGCTGAACAATTCATGCAAAACAAACTAGGTAAAATAATTAATCAACTAAAATTATACAGATGGCTTGATATGAGGCCTTTATCTTTATTAAACTCATAGCAGCAATGTAACCTCCACTGTCAAATGTCTACTATAACATCAGACTACAGGAATTAAACAAAACAACTATGAGGATACCTAATATTCCACTTCCCAAATACTTAAAATTATTTATTTATTTGTTCATCAGCTGTGGCTGCTTCTAAATTTTGATATAAAAATATATATATAATTCCTATATCTCAAAAAAGCATATGTTGTACATTTTAATTATAAAATATCTCAGAAAAATGTTTATGATTTTCATTTTAAGAGGTTAATTTAAGTGGATTAATTTTGGGAACGTGGTATCATTTTTTAGAAATTTATTCTGAAGTTCTAATCATATTAAAACAACAAAGTTGAACACTGAGGTGGTTAAAAGTTTTATTCAGTTTTGGAAACTAGTGATTGATTCACACTGAAAAGTAGCTATCAATCTTCAAAGCAAGAAACCTGATTCCACAGAATTTTGATTCCGGTTAACAAAAAAAATCGTATCATATATATTTTGCATCACTTTACTTCATGAATATCTGAATATGTAAGGAACAGCTGCTTGCCATTACTGAACTAAGACATTCTGGTTGGCTGAAATTAATGATACTCCATCTGGTTTGAAACACAAGGCAGTATTTCATAACTACTGTAAAGTTCAGTTAGGAAGAAATCCATTTAATTTTTAAAGTATCAGTTTTCCAAGATTCTAGTATCTATACCAAAAATAAAAATAAGACAGTTTATGGGCAATGTGCACAAAACAAAATTATAAAAACAAAGTGTGAATGAATACATAGTAGGGGGAAAAAGTAAGCCATTAATTCAGACATAATATCTTAATACTTTTTATATCCAACTTGCTACAGACCTTAATTAGGAATTCTTTTCTTTCTCTCCTCACCTAAATGAGTTCAATGAAGTAATATTAATATTGGCAACAGTACAACACTTTAAAAGCCAGAATATGCAGAAACTTACCAATCTTTGTGCCAAACTCATCCTTGGAAAAAGGAAGTATGGCAGAATCAACAAAGTTATAATATATGTATGATTAATGTAAAAATTAAATTTTACACTGAAAACACTAGCAGAGTTGGAAGGAAAAAACTATTGCTGTAAAGTGCCTAAATCTTCCCAACCAAGTACAGTTTACTGGTTCAAAATTAGAGCAAAACCATGGCAAAATGAAATACATTGGAAAACAAAAGTTATTTATATATTTATATAAATCTAGAATGATGAAAAATGAGTATTATATTTTCAAAGAGAAGTCTAGAAACCTTGAGGATTTTTTTTAAGTTACACATTCTAGAAAGTAATAAACTAAGAGTAATTAATTTTCCTGGGTACAACCTTTTTTATGGAGATCACATCAAAGACTGACTTGGAAAAAAATGGTGAGTTAATAGGTTTGCATGGTGTGTATGGATAGTACTTCTGAAATCATTTGCAGAAGTCCATTTATATACTACAAGAAAGTAGTATATAAATATATATATTATAAATATAATAAATAAATAAATAAATAAATAAATAAATAAATGAATGAATGAATGAATATAAATTCCAAAGCTTGGGAATGAGCAAGGTTTGTCAACCCAAATCTCTATAGCACACAAACTGTTTAATTTTGCTTTGGTTATCATCTTACCTGAGTTATAGAAAAGGTCAGGTCTTTCAAGAATATCTCCTTCATGGATGTATGGCTCAATTCGGTCATCACCATACAAGAACTGCTCGCTCTCATCCATCTGACGGCTCTCTACCATCTCTAGCCACTGAGAGTTATGCCAGCGAAATTTTTCACTCTGAATTTTCTTAGCCCATTCTTCATCATATTCCTATTGAAAACAAATAGTTAAGTATTATTATGTAAGCTTATAAAGGAACTCATTTGGACCTCAGATAATAGTACTAATTTGGAGGTTCTTTGGGTCAGTGGGAACATTAAAAATATCTGTTCAGAATTATTTTATATAATAATCAATACAGCCAATTAAATACATATATTAAAGACACCTGTTTGAATTACTAATTAATTGCTAATGGCAAAGACTGGAAAGTTTGAACTTCATAAGAATCTATTACTAGAATTTAGGTAAGCAATCAGACTTCAGCTCTCAAATTTGTGGCTATAGTTGTTTGTGACACTAATGATAGGTGGTTAAGCATTAATATGACATCTTTCACTACATCTTTTTTTAAGATTAACACTTTTCATTTTTTTAAAAAAGATTTTATGTTTTATTTATTCATGAGAGACAGAGAGAGAGAGAGAGAGAGAGAGAGAGAGAGAGGCAGAGACACAGGCAGAGGGAGAAGCAGGCCCCATGCAGGGAGCCTGATGTGGGACTCCATCCCCAGTCTCCAGGTTTACGCCCTGGGCTGCAGGCGGCGCTAAACTGCTGCGCCACCGGGGCTGCCCAACACTTTTCAATAGGAAAAAAAGGTATGTCTCCTAAGTACTGAAATAGTTTACCATGGAAAACAAATAGAATTTAATTTTACATTAAATTAAATTAATTCTATTTGTTATTAATATTATTAAATAGAACAATTAATTCTATTTGTTTAGAATTTAATTTCATATTAAAATCTAAAAGAACAAAATAACATTATCTTATTTAGTCATAATTACTTCTTTAAATATCTATTTCTTCCTCTAATCATGAACTCCTGAGGAGCAAGACTGACTTCTTGGCTGCTTATCTATAATATCTGTTCACAGAGAATGCCCTTGGTGAACATTTGTGAAGGACTTATCAGCAAATTACTCTTAGCTACAGCTGAACCTATCTAGCTCTCAACTTCTGCCACAAATTGTGGTTACTTCTGACTGGTGTATTCACTTAACAATTAATGGACAGTACCACTGATAACATAGATTAAAAAAAGATTCAAGATCTTTCTTGTCATTCTAACTCTAGGATCTTAGTTTTTTTTTTTTTTAGGGTCTTAGTTTTAAATTCCCATTATATCTTTAATATTTTTGTTTATAGTTATCTAAAAAGGAGTTGGCAAGGTGCCAGCCAATAGTACTGTCTTCCAATAGTCAAGATGATCATGATAATTAACAGGTGGACAGAATATACATTTTAGTTAAATACTGATCAATTTTCATCCAAAGCTGAGGCTCAAAGTAAAAAATTGTCATCACAGGAGGAATTTCTGGGATGTAAGAATAAATCTAAAATTTTATAAGAATGTAACTATTATTATTTTGTTAAAATTTTACCCGTTAAATTTTAAAAGTTTTACATCATCAATAAATCTCTCAACAGCAGCAGCTGTCAGACTGTGTGTTCTATACTGGACATCTTTGAAATAATAGATGCCCCTTCTTGACTGAGGAGGTAAGTAGAAAGTATTTTGGCGATGATACTGCTAATGGCAGTTTTGCCACCAAATTAAGTTTTCTTTTTTCAAATAGTTAAATTTTAACATTCTGATTAGTTCTATGATTTAAAATTTAATTGCATAAAAGATCGGTTACAAACATTGCATTTTACTTTAAAAATAACAAACATTTACTAATCCAACTATTACAATTTCAATATTTAAATCACTGAAGTAGTTTTTAAAGAGATTTATTTATTTTAGAAAGAGAGAGAGTACACACCAGTGAGAGTGGAGGGAGAGAATTTTCAAGCAGGCTACCCCCCCCCCCACTGCCAGGCACTCTGAGCCCAAGGCCCCCGAGATGAGGACCAATGAGATCACTACCCCTAGCTGGAATCAAGAGTTGGATGCTTAACCAACTGACCCACCCAGGTGCCCCGAAGGAGGGTTTTTTTTTCCATCCCATTTTACATCTACAATTTTAATCTATATTTGAAATTGACAATTTAGATATAAATAAATGCTAAATCTAAATGCCATCTTATTGGTATGCTTACAGTGAGTAGATATGACCATAATTTATTCATTCATTTATTGATTATATATAAGTTGTTTTGATAAAATGAGATAATACATATAAAGCATTTAGAAAATCTATATTGAAAACACTTAATGTTAGCCATTACTATTAATTAACTGAAGTGACAGCTCTCTGAATTAATACTATAATTATTGTCATTTTATAAATGAGAAAACGAGGCCCAGAACACTGAACTAACCTAAGTATACACAGCTAGTTGTGGCTATTATAGCATTGTAAACCTTGGGCTAGCAATGTGGAAAAGGCAATTAAACAGAGGATAAAAGAGTATTGTCAGAGTCACTATAGAATGGATTCTTTAGTAATGAGAATATAATAAATGAACTCCAGGGTCAACTTTCAGCTCTAAGGGTCTACAAATGTGTTGAATTGTTGACAGAGCAGTGATATGAGAGAAAGTAGCTTCTGGTATGGTAAGTTTATTTTATAACACATGGTATTCTCAATCATGTTCTCTCTAACCTGGCCACACATGGGAGGGTATAGGGAAAGAGGAGTTAAAAAAATAGTAGCAGAGATGTTGTTACAAGTAGTTTCACTGACTATAGATTTTAGTGGTTCACTTTGGGTTTCCCAAACTAGATGTAATACTAAGTGATGCTAATAATGCAATATGAGCACTGTGATTAGCTTTAAAATAATTTAGCCCAAATGCTAAATATAATTTTGAACCTCTTCAAAATTCATGATTTTGCAGGTATACTTTTTGGTTCCATATATGGCACAGTATGTGTGTTAGCTGCAAAGCTGGCTGCACAAATATATTACGTTATATTAGAAGTGGCTAGATGATTTAAGAATGATCATATACACTTATAGAAGAAATGGATGAACTTATACATTAAGATAAAAAATTAATGCATAAACAAGAAGTAAATTGGCATTTGGGGCAAGAAATTCTCCATAATAATTGGCTTTTTTCCTAAAAGATAAAGTTAGTCACAGGTCACCAAAACTCCCAGAATATGCCTCATATTACCAGAAATCCTATTAAATCTACATTAAATGCTAGAACTAATTTGATAGGTATTTGTTTCTTTTGTGAATACTAGCTTATTTCACTTGGAAAGAGGTATGAAATGAACTTTTTAATTTTGACAGAAAAATTTTAAATCTGATTATCTGAATGAAGAAGTATTCAAGAAAGGTGATAGACATATGACTTGATTATTATAATTTAGGTTCAAGTGTATGGATTCCTAGGGTAAAGACAAGAGATAAACCCCAGTCAAGTGTTCAAAACATACAAAATATTGGGTTTGCTACTCCACTGACAGTAAAACTTGCTGCTTACTAATATCTGTGAAATGTTACAGAAATAGGTATAATATTAAAAGTAAATCGGGGTGCCTGGGTGGCTCAGTCAGTTAAGCATCCGACTTCTTCCTTTCAGCTCAGGTTATAGTCTCAGAGTTGTGAGACCAAGTCCCCATGATTGGCTAGTGCTCTGTGTGCAGAGTCTGCTTGGGATTCTCTCTCTTTCCCTTTCTCTACCTCTCTGCACCCTCCCTGCTTGTACAGGGGTACGCTGATATGCTCTTAAATAAATAAAACCTTAAAAGTATTTAAGCACTGGGTGTTATTCTGTGTGTTGGCAAATTGAACACCAATAAAAAATAAATTTATTATTAAAAAAGTATTTAAAAAGTAAATCCTTAAATTACATAGCCATAAAATGTATTTAGCTGAGTAGGTAATGCTCTGCACAAGGAAAAAAAATCATGCTTGTTCTAGGCATTACTATCTTACATGCTTCTCATAAGTTTTCACTATTCTAATAATAAAAGTACAGTGATAAATGTAGAAATGTGTAACGAAGTTGCTATTTTCTTCACAGATACCCTTCAAACTTAAGCCTTCTTATCACCCTTCAAGCTTACAGCAATGTTATTAATGAACCTAAACACACAAGGCTTAGTTTTTAAAAAGAGACTCTCTATCCAGACTACTATCCATTTGACAGAAGCCCAAACACACAAACCAAAAATATCCATGAACATCCATCACTAACTTTTGACACTAAAGCTTGTTTTGTGAGTATCTTAGGGAAGCTGATTTTCCAAAGCAGTGAGTTAACACAGACCTAGAACTAAATGTAATTAGACTACCTTTATGCAACCTGAATTCCTTTAAGGTTTTTACCACATTTTTTTATCAGTTTATAACCAAGTAAACTTATAGAACCAAGGCAAATCTTAACATTGTAAGTCCAAAAATAATAGTAACAATGATGGCAGACTGTAATGTCATTTTACTAAAAATAATTTTATTCTAATTTTTAAGTTTTTGTACTATAAAACGATAGGTTTTTCTATGACTAGCATAATGATTAATGTGTGCATTACTGTTTACAGGATAACAATGAAAACACTATGACTGTTTGCTTAGCTCTTCAAAAAACAACAGTTTCTTCCTCAGAAAATAGTAGACAAAATATGTTATTCTATATCAAACTGTGTGATCATTTAGGATATAAAAAATTATGTTTTGCAGATGATATAAAGATTACAGATTCCTACTATAATGAATCTACTACAATGACAAGAGGAGTTTTCATGAGAGGTAATCTTATGAAGAATGATTTAATAAGTATGTGTGGTTTTTTGTTATAAATCATAGCGAAGAAAATGGCTAAAAACCTTGACCAACCAGTATCAAAGCCTTAAAGTTTCAAGCAGTTATATATAATGTGACTTTTTGAAAATATTTATATATTTATAATCATAAAACTATTTCAGTATTGAAAGCTGAAAATTATAGAAAAAAATATCTATACCTTTACCTAGCTAGAATAATAATAAGTATTGTATATATCCTATTAGTTTGCAATGACTTTCTTAATTCTAATAGCAAATGCTAACTTTAGAAAATATTTTAAGATACATATTTTTAAAATTTAGAACCTAAGTATGAAACATTTTTAATATATTGTACTTGTGCCATAAAAGTTTGCTCTAACTTGTGATAATACAGCTTTAAGTATATGAATGTTTCCCAAATACAGCATTTTGGAATGAAGCATGTTATGAGGAATACAATACTGGTTTAAATAATTGGCTTCTCCTTTTCCTTAATAGAGAACATTAGCGAAAATCAAATGAGATAGTACTGGTTCACTATGCAATGCTGGCTTTTGATCTTTTGTTTTTGAAAATCAAATATTTTAGCTTATGGCTGTTGAGAGTCTATTCAGTGTTAAACTGAAGGGCTAGGATAGTAGTCCTAAGAGTTTTAGATTTTGGGAAAGTTTCAAAGACAAATTTTGGGAACTGATGTTAAATTGAATCAACTGCCACCTACTATTTACTGTCTTAGAAAAGAAAGACTATTTTAATACTAAAAATGTTAAGAGAGCTAATCTCAAAATGAAGATCTACTCTCCCAATATAAAACATGTTAATAATTTTAACATCTGCAACTCTTCCCCAGCCCTGGTCTCTCCCTATGTGTGCTCCTTTCCGTTGACCTTCTCCCACTTTTTTCTTTTTTTCCTTTCTCTTCCATTTTAGTGAAGACCACTAAAAGGTTTGTCATGCTCCAACGGATCAGCACTCCAGAAGACATAGCTTCAACAATCTCCTGTATTTATCCTCAAAGAGCATACTTTATCAGCCATGGCAGAGGCAGTTCTGTTGTATCTCAGAGTCTGAATTTATAGGTATTAATGATATTATGGTAAGGTATAATTCAAAGAACCTTAAATTTGGAGTTAGGAGGCTTGAGTTCTGTGTCTAGCTCTGATATTAATAGAAGTAAGCAAACTTCTACAGGTATTTTAATATCTTTTGGTCTCAGATTCTTCCTTTCTAAAATGAAACAAATCTAAGATTTACTGAAGTTCTAACATTCTATAAACAAAAATCTATGATTAATACCATTATTTCATAAAACTGTTGAAACAATTATCCTCCATAATTGAAGAATATTGTCTGAGGAGTTTATTTTAAAAAATTAAATAGCAACTCCAAAATGAATATCCAGTATCAAAAATTTACTAAACTCAACATATACCAGTTAAAATCTGTTCTCTCTAAAATCCCTCTCCCATAAATTTCTCCTTCTCTCTTAACACCCTCTCCCTCCATTGTCAGGAAATTCAGGGATGGTACAGCTCAATCACAGCCAAGATACATCATAAGAATTTATCAAGCCATTGTGGAAATACTCCAGGAATATAGTTGTTTTTTCTTCATTTTTGAGATGCTTCTTTTTACAAAAAGGGTACCCTGATATCCTTGCTTTGAGACTCGAGTTTGACTTGCATTTAAAAGTACACATGCTTTTTTACTTTCTTCTCAGCTCCTGACATGATCTTAGGCACTCAGTTTCCATAAAAACTAAAGTGTCATGAAAGACTTATGGTTTGATTTTAAATGGAATGTACCATCCTTTTTGAAGTCCGACATCATTTTGTTTACTACTTAACCACAGAAACATTGTGAAGCCTTAACCAGCCTATTATCAGAGCCTGTTCACTATCAGAAAAACTCTTTGTAACTGGCTTCCGTCACACCTTGTATCTGATTAACACACTATAGGATAACATAGAGCTACATAGATCTGCTTTGTGTTCTAACATAACTGATGGAAAACAGATTTTCCTTTCTCCTTTAATGTGACAGCCCCTAATTGAGAATGTAATATGGTTTATTTAATACACTTCTTCATACTAAATTAAAGCAGATCCAGAGTAATTTAGTTGCTCATTAAGGTTAAGGTAATAGCTGCTAAAAAGATGCCTTTTTATGTCTTAGAGAACATTTATTCTGATGATAGGTACAGGATAAGTAGATATAGATATGTACACATAATTAAACACACATAACGGAGTTGTTGACTTTTATGGGATAGTACTATTTCTCAACAGTACTATCCCAAGTTTTGTTCTGTAGTCATGACTATGACATTTTCTAACCAGATCTCAAATATAATCATCTCTTTAACCCCTGTTTAAAGTGCTGAGGAAGCTCATCTGTGCAATATCATTTCAAATATCATGTCCAATAGGGCCACAAAGTTAGAACTAAGTGAAATTTATTTAAGAAATCATGATTTTTATCTTTCGTACTATGCTTGAGTTCTTTTGAATCCAACTATTGTCAATTTAAAAAAAAGCAACATGCACAGAACTAGCAAGGAATACATATACATTCACATACATATGATCACATTCATATCATATATATATAGTCTATATTTTAACAAGCTAGAAGAATATCCTAAATTTCTGCCTTTCAGGTTTATATATCAAAAGGAACTCCAGAAGATGGCTAACCAAATTCATCTCACTAAACCCAATTTGATTGTATACAATTGAGAAAAATCTAACTTAGAAGTCTGAGCAATGAAAATTGGTACAAAGACTATAAAACAAGCAAGAACCAACACCACCTGCTCTGGAAAGAACACCTAAGTAGTTTTCTGTCAACAACTCATTTGTCTCTGCTCTGTACCTGTGTCCAACCTGTAAGCCAATTAAAACTGACTGCCATCTATCCATTTTACCCAATCCCCACCCATTTCCTGCTTTTGAGAGCCTGTCCTGAAAAAATCTGAGTTCTAATGTTAACCCTAATCTAATCTTATGAAAGTTTCTCTATAACTTCCCTTTCCAAGATGTTATAACACGTCTTTTTTTTTTTCTTAATAAGACATCTTTTTAAAGTGCTTTCCCTTGCAGGCAATATTAATGCACTTCTGTAGGACATAGGCTTGCCTGGTAATTTTTGTGGGGACTATACCAGCTGATGTCTTAGAGGTTATAGTGAACTTACTTTGGTTTATCTCTTTTCAAAATACCAGTCTTATTAAATATAATTTTGACTATCCAGGAATAAAGATAGCACCTTGTTTTCTAAGTTTAAAATATTAAACCTAGGTAATAATTCCAAGTTACTAAAATATACACAATCTTCCCATGATCACAATTAGACTTAATTAAAAAAAAAAAAAGGCCACCATTCACAATCTCAGTGACACAAACCTGTGTTAGTATCAAATCACATGGGCCTGTGGCTGGTTAGAAAGATGACAGACATCACTCTTTTACCAGGGAACCTAGATACATCCCTTTTCCCATAAATACCTTATAGACACAATGTGCCATTAGTATATAACATCTATTGATAGGGCCATATAATAGTACTGTTCCTGGAAGGTAAGTTGATGTCTAGATGACAGTATCCTGGTGTTCTCTAGAGTTTAGAATGTAAACTTTTGTATTCTAGGGACTTTGTGTTTTGTTATTCCCAGTGTCTTACTGTTTTGACACAGTATATCTTTAATAAACATGTACTAAATGTTTTACAACTAAGAAAGCTCAGGGGAGGAATTTATTTACCAACTGGGGAAGAATTTATGAGGTTATCAAATATTTCATACAAAGCTGAAGAAGTACTGAGGATAAAAATCTAATTGGGTTTTTAGAAGCTCTCTATGATTAAAGGATTCTGTTCTTCCCTTCAGGATTCCCCAGGCTTGAAAAATAGATAATGATCAACTGCCATATATACATACATATATATCTGTATATAAGATATACAGATATATATGTAGATATATATATCCCCTTAGAAGACTATATGTAGATATATATATCCCCTTAGAAGACTAAGAAGATAAGCTCCTCTCTCCTTGTCTCCCCACTTCTCTCTGCATCTACTTCAATCTCTGCCTCCAAAAGCTACATGGAAGGCCTAGTCAGACAGATGACAACTTGCTGATAAGCCCACAGAGACATCACCAAACATAATTCTCCTAGGGTACAAAAAGTACCGCCACCACACATACTAAGGGCTTGGGCCCAAATACATTAAACAAATCACCACTAATGTATCATTTCCATAATTTGGGGGACAAATTCTTTACTGCAGAAGGCATATTTCCCTAAGGCTTGTATTGAATAAATATAGCATGGAATAATAAGAAATTTTTATTCAAATTCATTTGCTTTCTTTAATTGCCTTAAACTACAAATATTCTCATTAGCTCTTTTTTAAAAATTTAAAAATTATTATAGTATATACTCATCCTGAGAATAGTAGGATATCAAAGCCCAAAGGTAAAAAGAATCTTAAGAGATCATCCACTCCCACTCTAGGCAGGTTTCTAACTATTTCAGAAAGTTGGTTATTTAGTTATTACTAATGCTAACTGGACAGAGGCTTCATATTCTCCCTTGACAGCTTATTTCTAGTGTTTCATCATCTTTGCTGTGTCTAATCAAAATTTCTCCTGTTTCGAATTAAGTCAATTTCCTCTTGTTTTACTCTTGAAAAAGATTTGGGACAAGCAAATAGCACCCTGAGTCATGATCAGTAATAGAGTCTGAGCTCAAAGAACCAGACTGGCAGCTATGTCCCAAGTGAACCTGAGAGGCTGTCATTTTACTGATGCATTAAAAAGGCCCACTCCTCAAATTTCTCCCAAATAAGGAGGCCTAGCAAGGAGTATAACTCTGTTCTGAGGTTAGCTGATAAATTGAGTCCAAATTAAAATAAGTCACCACAGATTCAGAATATGGGTAATTTAACAGATGAGGCACTTCTATACTAGAAATGGCAGATTTCTGTTTACCACACTGTCCTAATTAAGGCCTTTCAGTTAATTACCCTACTTAGAATTGCCCTGATCTAGAGTTTTAAAATGCTAAATTCAGTCATTTTGCAGAAAAATATTAAGGTAAACTCTGAATAGTAATATGTCTGGCCAAAATAATACTCTAAATAACTTTCCATAGTTAAAATCCAAACAGTGAACAGATTATCTTCCAATACCATTTAAAACATTTAAATGAACAGAAAATAAAGTAGATAATTAACTGTGCCAAGTAAAGAAAATGTTGGTCCAGATATGGAATTAACATATAAACTTCTTAACAAGATCTGAGTTTTGGTCTAGTTTGAACAAAACAGAGAGTGACCATCATGTGGTAGATGCTTCATATTTTCTCTAACCTTAATAACTCTCTAATGCTCAGATACATCATTGTAAACCAAATCTTCAAAAAGTTGTAAGTGGTCTGTGGTTATTTAGCAGGTGAGAGAACTAGAATCAGTGATATTTTAGATGCAATACTCCGTTAAACCAAGTTGCCACATCAGAGAGACCAAAAGTTGAATATAAGATTAGAACCCCTACCCAAGTGAGAAAGGGAGAAAAAGTTTTGGGAAGAAGCTGCTTCCAGTGGTGCAGCTCCTTACTATCAATCTAAAACTGAACCAGGGCCTGACTCCCATAAGTGTATAACAGCAAAAAGGTAAAGAAACATTCTTCCAGCAGAATATGGGATGTTTCTAGCCCTTCTATCAGCTGTAGACCACTTCTTTCCTCTAAAAAACTGAGCTATGAATATGACTCAGTTGAGTAGCACAACAGGACTTTTAAATTACATAATTCACACAGTAATATCTTTATATTTTCTATTTAGTAAGTTTATTATTTCTAAATATCTTTTCAGATTAAAGTTTTCTAACATGTGAAATGAAACAATCCAAAATTACTTGGCATCATATCAAGTACTTACTTTAAGTCTCATGTAGAGAGTCAGAGAGAGATTAGGTGAACCTTCAGATTACTTGTTCAGATTTCTTTTTATACTAAGTCAAGTGATCAGAAAGCATCTTAGGGAGACATATAGAGCTAGCTGATATATCACCAGTTTCATTTTGCCGATTACTCTTCTTTGAAGACCATATCAACAAGATTCTTTGTAAAAATAATAACCTAAATAATTTTCCTTATTTACATTTTAACTGCTCAGGATTTAGAAATTCCTTTAAGGATGGTAAGATCAACAAAGTAAAATGAGTATTAAAAATGCTCATTGGATTTAGAAAAACGAAGGTCAGGGTGACTTTAGTGAGCACCGTATCAGTGTAATAATGGAGGCAGAAGCCAGAATTAGTATAGGTTGAAAGGAGGATGAGGGGAAGTGCAGAAATGAAGAAAGTAATATGTAGACAATTTTTTCAAAACACTGGTTCTAGAGAGAAAGAGAGAACTAGGACAGCCATCTAGAAAAAAAAGGTAGACACACGAGGAAAATTCCTGTTTAAAATGAGACTGTAGCCCAGAGTTTAAAAATAATTGGGAATAACATTTTTTGTACCTTATATTCATATTGTATACTAAATATTTTTATAATAATAAGCTGGCATTTTAGAACTAGTACTAATTTACATTCTAAACCCAACATGCCTAATGTGTAAATCTAAACATTACTGCCTTCCACCTACCTTTTCTCAAACAAGAAGGTAATTTTAAAAGTATGCTAAAGGCAATCCATAACAAACTGACATCTTTTTTCCTTTCCTCATTGCTTAAGGTAAGATAATCATAAATAGAACTTTAATAAGTTTTTAATTCTTATACTATATATACTTTGCATACAAAACTGACATTAATCATCTACTAGGAAATAGGATTTGAGGGGCACCCGGGTGGCTCAGCTGGTTAAGCATCAAACTCTTCATTTCAGCTCAGGTTGCGAACTCAAGGTCCTGGGATCCAGCTCTGTGTCAGGCTCTATGCTCAGCAGGGAGTCTGCTTGGGATTCTCTCTCCTTCTGCCCCTCCCCCCTATACTCTCTCAAAAATAAATAAATCTTAAAAAAATAGAATATGAGACATGAAATTATTCTCTACAAGAAATAAACATTCTCTATTTACAAACCCCGTGACCAGGGACCTATATGTATGAAACATCTTACTGGAGCAAGAATTTAATACGTAAAATTTCCTTGTTTTAATTTAGAGATCAAAGCTAAAATGACAATGTACTCATTTACTTTAAAACCTGTAATGATAGGGGTACCTGGGTGGTTCAGGGGGTTGAGTGTCAGACTCTTGATTTCTGCTCAGGTCATGGTCTCAGGGTTGTGAGATCAAGACCTGAATTAGAGCCTGCTTAGGATTCTCACTCCCCCTCTCCCACCTCATGTGCATGCTAAGGTAAAAAAAAAAAAAGTTTAAACTAGTATGATATGCTCAGATCCAAAGCAGATCATATCAATTAAGATCAATTTCTGAAATAAAATGCAGGAAATTGATAGGAAGGTACCTAATACTGATTGTCAGATTTCATAATGAAATCACTAGCACAAATGCCAACTTAGAGAATTTGTAATAAAGTTGTTAACTGATTCTTTAAAATGTTATTATGATCCTCTAAAAAGCATGCTAAAATCTGAAAACTACTGAATAGGTTATATTCAAGAAGCATTTTACAGAATGAGCCAAAATAAAAAGCATAAATCCAGTTCAAAGAAGGAAGCAAGCAAGTTGTGTGCAGCACTATATGCCATAGATGAAAAAAACATTTAAAGTAATCTAGTATATGGCATGGCACCATATGCCTGATGCATGGTCCAAGTCTAGGCAGAAGACTGTGGTGGGCAGCATGAGCATAACTTCTGAAAAAACTATACACAGAAAGCAAGTTTCTATTTCAGGACTCAGATTACCCTTCTGATTATATTCCTTCAGTTATATATTCTTTAAAAAGTTCTACAGTCATGAATAACATGATTTTTGTATGTTTCATCATTTCAAAGCAACTTACAAAACAAGTGCATGGATATGACAAAAATCAAATTAAAAAATAATTGCTATAACATGACTTATTAAAAAAGCTTAATAGCCAAATTGCAAAATTGAGTGTATCAACTTTTGGTAGAAATTCTCATCAAACTCCAGTCCCTATGCAATAATTTCTCTGAAAAACAAATGATTCTGAGATTACATGCAGACCAAACCTAAAACTCTGAATATGTATAAAACCGCTTTAAGGAGCCTAAAGTTAAAAAGTTGAAAGTCAAAGATCTTAATGTTTAAAGAATTAATGAATTTAGTATCACTGTATTTTCAGAGATTTATCAAAATATAAGTTTGCATTTACATGAAATGCAGAGTTCTAAACAGATGTATCAAGTCTTCTTTTTTCCCAAATGAAGACCACTATTATACTTTGCATAAGAAGCAAAATTACTTACCGCTATAATATCTAATGTATTATCACAGACTTTTCGGATTTCATTATTTTTATCATGCATCAGATCTATGAGATATGCTGGGGCTTCTGAATAAAAGTGGTTAAAGATACAAACTACATTTGAGATTGAGGCTATTCAAGCATATTAGAAAATCCCACATTTCTCCAAATTAAAATTCTGCCTTGAAATCTAACTTCAAATTTTAAAGTAGAATCATTAATAAAAGATGACCAGAAACATTTAACTTGTTTAAAAGATAGGGAAAACAGAAATAAGAAAGAAAGAAAAATAAATAAAAATGGGTAAGGGGAGACCGAACATGAGAGACTCCTAACACTGGGAAACGAACAAGGGGTGGTGGAAAGGGAGGTAGGCAGGGGGTGGGAGTGACTGGGTGACGGGCACTGAGGGGGGAACTTGATGGGATGAGCCCTGGGTGTTATTCTATATATTGGCAAATTGAACACCAATAAAAAATAATTTATAAAAAAAATGGGTAAGGAAAACAGAGCCAGTAAATCTCAGTACAAGGCCCTAATTTTTGAAAACATGAAAATAACTGAAGAGGGAGCTCTAGAGCTGCACAGCTATAAAGCTTTTTTGATCAAGCTGGCCCACCAACTTCAGGAAAATTAATTTCACATAAAAATAGCAACAGAAAAGAATCACAAATGCTATGTACAGTTATTATGAGAAAGACATTTTCATATATAAAATGGAAGCTGTACCCTTCCAAGTTGTATTTCTTTTTGAAATACAAGAATTTAAGAAAACAATAGAATATGTGTGAAAGAACAATATAATAAATTAGTAAACTCAAAGAAATAAAATAATTCATGAAAGAACCAAAAATAAAAGTAAAAATTATTTGAAATATATAAGAACTAAATTTATAGTAATAAATGAGTAAACAAAAACAACAGATAAAACTCTAAGAGAAATGAAAGGCAAAAGGAAGAAAATTTGTAAAATTTAAAAATAGAGAAAATATTAGAAAATGGCAAATATTAAAGATAGGCAAAGAAGATCCAACATAATAGAGATTCCAAAGAAGATAAAAAAAAAGCAATAAAACAGAACAATACTAAAAACTGTAATTTAAGAGAACTTCCCTGAAATTAGGTGGGAAAAAAGAGAACTACATATTGAAAGATCACATTTGATACTTGGAAAAATCAAGCAAGTATTGTCAACATCTAATAAAACAACTTGGCTTAAAAAAAAAAGACATTCCTCTGATGTTACTGGCAAAAAGATCAAGTCATTCATTTTTAAAGGAAAAAAAAGTTAATTGTCATCAGACTTTATGACAGATACCTATAATTAGCAGACTACAGACCTCACAGTGGCATCAACTCAGGCAAGAAAACAGTGGAAAAATATCTTTCAATTGCTGAGAAAATAACTAGCAATCTAAAATTCTATATTCTGCTAACTTATTATTAAAGAAAAGATGCTAGTTATTTTCAGATATATATTTAATTATTCATAGATATCCAATTAGCAGTATAAGAATATAATTATGAAAGAAAATCAACACAGAGAAATAGAGAAATGGAATTCAAGAAAAAATGGTAAATAAGGGAGGAGGTCAATATATTATAACCTTAAATAAGCACTGGTTCTTAAAAGGCAATAACTGAAATAATTCATTTTCAAATGTCAGAAAAATGTTCTAGAAATGAGGTTAAATTATTATATTGGATAGCAAGTGACTGGAAGATTAGACTTACAAGTAGAAGGACACAGTCCTTTAAAATCAGAGAGAGTACTTATATTGAAATTTGGGTTTAACTCCGGAAAAGAAATGGAATAGATAAATACGTAGGGGAAAGGGAAGAATAAAGAAAAATCATCAAGAAACCTCAATGAATCTACTAAAAAAGGCAGTGAAGAAAAATTTATCTCCAATACAGTCAGTCTTGGTTAAAATTGTATTTGAAACAGAAGTCACAGGTTTCTACCAAGAAACTTTAGCACATGTGTACAAGCAAATGACATTCTTTGTAGCACTGACTGTAATGACGAAATAATTTTTACAAGTTGTTTTTTTTTTTAACCAAGTTTTAAAGCAGTAGCAAAGACAGAGCTTAGCCCACATCTTCTATGCATCAGTGCTACTTACTATTTTTAATGGGGGAAGAAAAGGATATATTTAAAATATAGAAAAAAATACAGAATGGTATATTCTCAGGGAGAGTCCTAAAAGGACCAAGTCAAATTTAGCTTCTTTTTCATTTTGCAATTTTGGGGGTTGTATGAAAATTAATTAATTTCATTCTGTTTAAAATTATATCAAATAACGATCAAATTCCCTAAATTTAAAAAATGGAAAAAAGAAATAGCTTATTGCCTAATAAATCTCTATTTAAAAATTTTAAGTATATCAGTCACACCAAGAATCACAAAAAAATGCTTAAAATTATGGCAAAATATTTTAATAATCATTTATAATTATGTGACAAAAAATAACAAGGTATACTTAAATGTCATTGACATCAACAAAAATCTTGGATTTTGAACACCAAACACTGGGCAAAAACACTTTAGCAATCTTTATCCAATCTTAAAGCATGGATGGAAGCATCAGGTCTAAGTGGAATTCCTTGATGCTTTTGTAAAAATTTTAAATCAGCAGATTTTTTTTATCTCCCAACCCCTCCATTATCAACGTTATATTATTCAAAATAACTATTTAAAAAGTACTCACTTCAGATCCAATGGCTTAACAAAAATTGAACTTGGAAGAAAATAAAGTTATACTGAGAAGAAAAATCAAATGGAAGTTGTCTTAATACTGTCAACTTTGATATTAAATGTACTGAGAGTACATTTTAAACAGACCAGGGTAGAGATACTTATTCACTTATGCACACTTTCTCACTATATACTACCACCTGATTGGTACTAAAAATATTTCATTCTTCTTTAGTCCTCAGAAAAACACCTATGAGATGACAATGTAAACAAAAGTTGTCTTTCAAAGAAGTCACCTAGGGAAGCTACGCTTTCACATTAATGTTTTCTAACATGTGTTTCTTACAGAGACACTCAACTCAGAAAAGCATATTAAAGTTTCTGAGAAGATCCCATAGCAAGAAAACCTGTTTAATTCAATGTTTTCCCAATTCATTTATCACAGAATCTTTTTTCATTAAACAATGATTAATAAAAAGATGCTCCATGGAACACCCTGGGGAAAATGAATTCATTCCAATGACATTAACACTGCTCAAAAGAATGTATTGAAATTTATTTTCCTGAGAGAGTCAGTTTATAAGCCACATTTAAAAAATACTGCTTTGTCATAAAAGAAGCTCTCTCTAATGTAGCTGTTAAGGCAAACAGTATTTGCATTTTGACAGCCCATATCAAAATGAGTATTTCTCAGACTTGTTATTCTTCAGACTTGAATCATGGGAGATTTTATATGGCCTCAGAATTTAATCTTGTCCTCAAAAGCAAGGCAATTTCCTCCAAAGATGATACTTAAAGCATGTGTCATTGGGTTTGAATGTAACATTGAAGGATTTGCAAAATGTTTTGAACTATAGCCTAGATCATTTAAAACAAAAACAAGGGCAGTCCAGGTGGCTCAGCGGTTTAGCACCGCCTTTGGCCCAGGGTGTGACCCTGGAGACCTGGGATCGAGTACCACATTGAGCTCCCTGCAGGGAGCCTGCTTCTCCCTCTGCCTGTGTGTCTTTGCCTTTCTCTCTCTGTGTGTCTCTCATGAGTAAATAAATAAAATCTTAAAAACAAAACAAAAAAACGTTTTCCAAGGTATTAATTTAAAAGGGCATTAACCATTAGACACATGTGTTCACTGACCAAACAAGTACTAACCACACGCCATGTACTGTGTTAAGTTTTGATGATAAAGGTGAGGAAGACAAAGCTGGTCCTTGGGCTTGAAGAGCGCAAAATCTTTTGGTAAAAACAGGCATACAAATACGCAATTTAAAGGTCTTTATTGAAGGTGAAAATAAATTACTTCTACTGGGAAGGAGGGAGGCTTAACTGCATTAGAAAGGCTTAACTGAGAAGATAGGTTATAAATCTGCCTTTGATGAGCTGGAGATTATTAGGGAAAGAGACAAATGTATTTGAGGCTGCTAAGGCACACAAAGAGGCAATAAGATGCATCCTGTCTGATATGATGAAAAATTTTGGTATGCTAAGAAAAAATTGTGTATTGCAGAATTAAAGGGGGAATTTTGGCTGTTTCCTTTTTTTTTTATAAATTTATTTTTTATTGGTGTTAAATTTGCCAACATATAGAATAATACCCAGTGCTCATCCCGTCAAATGCCCACCTCAGTGCCCATTACCCAGTCACCCCCACCCTCCGCCCACCTCCCCTTCCACCATCTCTAGTTCGTTTCAAAGGGGGAATTTTGGGAAAAAACGGTCAAATTAAATTTAGATTTTTCACATGGGTAATGAAAAATTTTACCAGTGGAGTTCAAAAGTAGATTTCTTTTTTTTGCACACAAACAAGCAGGCCACCACAATAAGACACACACACACACACACACACACACACATTCAGCTTAGATATCACTTCCACTGTCAGCATTTCATGACATCCCCAGATTTGGTTATATATTCTCTCCTATGCCCAATGCACATACCTTTATGACATTAATACACTGAATTATAATTTTATATTTCTTATTCACTTGTCTCTCTCTCTCCAATTAGATTATAAACTCCTTGAGTACAGGGATTGACTTTTTATATATATAGCACTCAAAAGAGTATCTGTTAGATGATTAGAACTTGACGAATGTTTGTATTATGAATGACTGATTAGGTGTAGTACAAGAGACAGGCACAAAATGTTCAGTTATGAGACTGGGTAGATGGTACTTTTATTATCCACTATGAATATAGAAGATAGACTGTTCAAGGTAGGGTATTGACATTATCGAGTATCCCTTCGAATGTAATAATGATAAACTATCACTTACTAAGTATCTCTGTTTGCTGGAAACAACTATAGGCACTGCAAGTCCATTAGTACTCACAACAATCAATATAAGGCAAGAAGTATTCTTTTCATTAATATTATGGCCTTTTTATAGATGCAAGATTTTTATGCTCAAGGGAGGTTAGATAACTTATCCAAAGTCCTGCAGCTTTTAAATGGCAAAAGGTAAGTTACAATTCAGACTATATGATTATAATGCTCTATGGATAGGTAGAAGACATCCAGATGGCAGATAGCAACAAATGCCTGGGACACAAGAGAGAAATTTTGAAGATATTAAGTACCTAGCATATAGTTGGTAGCTGAGGTCTTGGGAACAGATGTATTTTCCCATGTAGAGTGAATAATGGTAAGACTGAAATAGTACTAAGGATGGTCCTAAGAACATCTGATATTTAAGTTAATAGAGAAGAAAGTTCTTACATGTTTGTTAAGTTCTTAGGAATCACAGCCTGACAAGTTAATAGAATTGTTTGCAAGATTTTACCTATATACTCATTTGGGGTCAACAACTTCCATGAAAAATACACTGCCTTCTAAAATTATTTTGAAGTTTGATATTTCCTACATTATTTGAATATATGCTAGGAAAAATACCTAAAATGCATCTTTTTTGAGAATGTGAAATATCATTATCTATTGTAAACATTAAAAGGATACGTGTTTCCTTGATTATGACATCTCTTGTGGCTTGGTGGAAAACCATCTGGTAGAAGACATAAATTATCTGACACACAAATTCATCATCTTCTTGTTGAGCTGAAAGGAAGCAGAAAACTTCAAATGAAAGAATACTATAGTTATATATAAAACTGAAAAACATTGACTGGAATAGTGGAGAATGAAAAAACCAAAAGTGACAGGAGACAGGTAAAGACATCCAGTTTACATTATTTACAGTACATGGGTGGCATATACCATTTTTATCTTTATTCAGTTATTTTTTAAAAATTCCATGATGATGACCATTGAGGAAACTTCTAACATATTTTCAAAAGTTTTAGTAGTTTTGGTTACTGTTCAATTAAGTAGGTTGTTACTCTGAAATATAAATATAAAAATATTATTTTGAAAAAGAGAAATTATATCAGCTCTGAGTTTAAACCAGACTACTTGACATTGTCTCAAAAGATCAGGTTGTATTTAGGAAGAAGAACTGAAGGAGGAGATTGGTTTAAGAACATTGTAACAGTGCTTTTCTGTAACTCTCACTCTGTTTTGACAACAGACATAAAGAAATTATTAAATTAACTTCCATGTCCCTAATGTGAAATGGCAACACTTACTAACACTTGTTTTTTGGGTTTTGTCAATCATAGGATTTTTAAAACTATTCTAATTTGTGAAATAAAACTGGTTCTATATTTTGTATAATATTGACTTCAAATGAGAAAAACAGTTCCTAAAAAAAATTGCACCTTCTAAATTCTAAGTTTTTGGTAGAAAAACTATTATGAAGAGGTATTATTCTTGAATAATGTTAACAAAATTAAATTTTACCTATTGTCATGAAATAATAAATTATTTGATCAAATTTTTTATAACAGTAAAAATAATGTTGTATAATCACAAGGCTAATTAATAAATGTTTAATATCATACAAAGAATAGTTTAACAGAGGGACGCCCAGGTGGCTCAGCAGTTGAGCATCTGCCTTTGGCCCAGGGAATGATCCTGGAGTCTCAGGATCAAGTCCCACATCGGGCTCCCTGCATGGAGTCTGCTTCTCTCTCTACCTATGCCTCTGCCTCTCTCTGTGTGTATCTCTCATGAATAAATAAATAAAATCTTAAAAAAAAAGTTTAACAGAATAACTTATGTCCACTGATTAATATGTAATGAAAAAGCAAATACTTATAGAAATCTAATTTTTAGGCACTGGTCATGAAATTTGATTTACTAACAGTTTTTTTTTTTTGTCAGCTTTTGGAAATAGTTCAATGATACCTGTTGATACAGATTTATAGATCAACAGAGCATCTAACTAGCATGTAGAATAAATTGTGGGCCCCTGAAAGTCCAAAGGATTTCCTCCAACCACTTGCTAATGTACCACTCTCCCAGGGCTAAAATTCTATTACTCTCATGGTATACAGTGTTCCCTCTCTTAACCCTAAGGATTTTTTTTTTTATTTTTTATTTTTTTTTAACCCTAAGGATTTTAATCTTGAAATATATTTCTTTATTTTATCATTGAAGTATAGTTGATATATGCTCTATTTATTTCAGGTGTATAGCAGTGACTCAACAATTCTATCTGTAACTCAATGCTCACCACAATAAGTGTAGTCCCCATTTATCTCTATACATTATTACAATATTATTGACTATATTCCCAGAAATCCATGCATTTCTTAAAAAGAGAAGTATACAGCCTCTGCTTATGATAACCTCATGGCAGAGAACATAAAAACATAGTAAAACATTGTGAACTGGCTCTGTCAACTTGCTTTATACACATGTTAGCACTGTGGAACAGCAATTCAGGAAGACAAGCCATTTGTTTCAACTTTCTCCAACTCATCATAAAATCCTCATTCTCAATCTGCCAACTACATTGTTATCACTTATACCTCCCAACTACCTCTCCTTTAATTATTTTTAATCTGAAAACTCCTGGCTTTGAGAAGGGTAGACCAAGGTAAATATCTTATACTATATGTAGGAACACTTCCAATATGGAGATATTATCTCTAGATGACTTATTAAAATGCATTATGTTAAAGAATTTACAAATCAAATTTTTAAAATTCAAAACAGAGAAATGGGCAAAATACTTAAAGGAGTACTTAACTTTATTAGCCCTAACTAACTGGCCAATAAATACAAACAGGTACTCAATTATTAGTCATTAGGGAAATGCAAATTAAAAACACTACTCTGTAGGCTACAATTAAAGAGACCAATAATGTCCAGATACAGTGGTGATGTAGAAGGACTGGAACTTTTTGCACATTGCTGGTGGGACTGAAAATTGGCACAACTGCCTTGAAAGACATATTGGCACTATTCACTAAAGGCAAACATATGCAGACTCTACAACCCAACAATTCCAATCCTAGGCATATGTTTAATAGGAATGAATACATACATATATTCACCAAATGAAAGGTTTAAGAATGTTCAAGGAGCATTATTTATAATAGCTCTTTGCCTATCAAAAAACCAAAAGCCTGGGTGGCTCAGTGGTTAAGCATCTGCCTTTGGCTCAGGTTGTGATCCCAGGGTCCTGGGATTGAGTTCCTCACCGGGCTCCCTGCAGGAAGCCTGCTTCTCCCTCTGTCTTAAGTCTGTGCCTCTCTCTCTCTGTGTCTCTCATGAATAAATAATAAAATCTTTAACAATAAAATCAATCAATCAATCACTCAATCAATCAATCCCTAACCCAAATGTGAGACTAATCTGGAGACAGGTCTATAAGGAAGTAATTAAGGTCAAATGAGGTCATAAGGGTGGAGTCCTGACCTAATAGGATAAGTATCCCTATAAGAAGAGATACCAGAGTGTTGTGCTTGTGCTTAAGTTCACTTGTTTGTACTCTCTGCCCTGTGGGGATGTGATGACACATTAAGAAAGTGGCCTTCTGGAAGCCAGGAAAAAAGGCCCCATGAGAAACCAAACTGGCTGACACTTTGATCTTGAACTTCTCAGCCTCCAGAACTATGAGAAAATATACATTTTTTGGTTTAGGCCACCCAACCTACGGTATTTTGTTATGGTAGCCTAAGTACACTAACACAAAGTTCTAGAGAACTTGATGCTAATAGAGTAACATTAGATCCAGATAGATTTTGCATGCAATGTGGAAAATAATGAATCCTGGCCCCTCAATAGCAATATAAAAGTCAGAGAAAAACTCTATCCAGGCCTGTAACTGTACTGTAACTATAGCCACTAAGGCTAATTAAATTAAAATTAAATACAAAATTCAGATTCTCATTCCCAATAGTCCCATTTCAAGTACTCAACAGCCACATGCATGGACAGAGAAAATAGAGAACATTTTCTTCATTACAGAAAATTCAGAGGACAGTACTAGACTTAGGAAGGAATAGGATGCTTAGGATGAGCTTCCAAATGAAGCTTGAAATCAAGATATCAAAAAAAGCGTTTGCACAAGATAGGCAATCTGATTCAATCAACACAAAGCTCAACAGAAGAAAAGCTAGAATATGGGATCCCTGGGTGGCGCAGTGGTTTGGCGCCTGCCTTTGGCCCAGGGCGCGATCCTGGAGACCCGGGATCGAATCCCACATTGGGCTTCCGGTGCATGGAGCCTGCTTCTCCCTCTGCCTGTGTCTCTGCCTCTCTCTCTCTCTGTGACTATCATAAATAAATAAAAAATTAAAAAAAAAAAAGAAAAGCTAGAATATTAGTATTTCATGATTACAGATCTTTTACATTTAAAACTGTAAACTAATATTCTGTTTATATATTACATAAAAATAAAGATAAATTATAATTTACCATTTAGCAATTCAATAAGTGCAGGGATTATTCCAGATTTGGCTAGCAATGCAGCACAAGAGTCATCCATAGATACTGTTCCAATCATTATAACCACTTCTAAAACAAGGTCATCTTCTGCAGCACCTAGTAAAGTCAAAACCACAGAAAGTTTTCTTTGAATTTTCCTGATCCAAATCCATTTATATTACCAAAACTTTAATGCACAGAAAAGATGCTGTAAGCTATTAAGTCAGTTCTTCATTCTTACTTAACATGCTTATAAATATGTCCTTTTTTCCGCATTTCTAAGCTCAGTGAAGACAGTTCATAGTGGTGGGGGAGGACAGAAGAGAAGTGAAAATATACCTCTGAAAATATAAATGAATGACAATGTAAACACAGAAAACAGAAGTCTCATTTGAATGGCTCAAAGACTTTTGGTGTGCATGTGTATGCATTTTTATAGAGAAATGGTATTCGGTAATTTAAGACAGAATAAAAAATAAGCAGGATAGGGAAGGGAAACTAATATTAAGAAAACATATTGCTGGAATAAGAGTACATACACATAAAAGAAGACCTAGTGACCATCTTTCTAGAAAGAAACTAGAACTAGAGCTGAAACTCAAGGTGTGGGAAGAAAATGTGTTACCCAATATTAGTCACAAAATACTGCTCTGACAACCTTATTCACAACAGAAAGGAATAACTTAATGATTATGCAAAAGGGGGAATACTTTGCACAGACCTGGTTTTAGTTTATCCTTGAGGTATGGAACTAACTTGTACTCCTTAAGAACCAATTCCCAGTCTAAGTCTGGAATGGTCAAATTTGCAAGGGTTCCCAAACATTCAATCACAAATTCCTCTTCCTCATCATTAGAGATCTGGGCTGCAAGGTCTCCAACATAATCCTAAATAAAACAGAAATTTAATACAAATTTAAAATATGATTTCTGAAGAACCAACCTTATAATGTAAACCATAAGAAGAAAAAATAAGTATCAAATATGATTCTCTTTGTTTTAATAAACTTAAACCAAATTGCTATAGGAGCCATTGATTTAAAGTTTATTTTTTAGTAATCTCTATACCCAACATGGGGTTCTAACTCACAGCTCTGAGATCAAGAGTCACATGCTTTTCCAACTGAGCCAGCCAGGTACCCCAGAAGCCACTGGTTTAAAAGGCAATAAAATTGGCATGAGGATGGAAGGGTTAGGGGTAGGGATCATTGAACAAAAACAACTTTAAAACTTAGGTTGGGATTTCTAGAAGCTAAACTTACAAGGAAGTTAATAACAAAAGAACCAACTTGGGTCATGAGTTAATATTTGGTAAGAGCTCAGTTATAGTTTTATTTCCAAATGTAGCACTTTAAAGCTTGAATTCTCAGGCTACTATTAGACAAAAAGAAATAAACTACTTACAATAAATAAATTTTTAGTTGGTCCATCATGCTGGGAAATGTTCCTAATCATTTTCATCAGCAATGGATCCTTGAACTTCAGAGCTCTTTTCATGAGCATTTTCAGACCATTTCCTACAAAAAAAAAAAAAAAATAGAAAACTCTTCCAATAGAATTAAAGTTCATTTAAGTTTAATGATTTTTTGTTCTTGTTTATAGTTCTCAAAAAAAAAACATTTACACTTGGTAAAATGCATCAATATGAAGTGTACAAAGATTAATTTTGATAAATTTATGCCTGTGGGTAATTCATAACCATGTATAACAGGTTAATTTCGAGAAATCTATGCCCCTGTATAATTCATACCCATATTAAGGTATAGAATATTTCCATCCACTACAGAAAATGCCCCTTTCTCAGTCAATTCTCTTCCCCAAATGTGAACGCTTTTCCTTTTTCTCTTCCTCCTCTTGTTTTCCTTTTCTTTCTTCTTTTCAAACATAGATTAGTTTTACCTGTCCTAGAATTTCACATAAATAGAATTACATAGTATGTGCTCTTCTGTGTATGGAATAGGCACGACAAATTTTAAAAAATATAAATACTTTTTGACCCAGAAAAGTTGTACTTCTAGGAATTTATCCTAAGAAAATAAAAATTGAAATTTTAAAAGTTTCAGAGAGTGGAAAATTACTGCAGCATGGTTTATTATAGAAAAGAAGTGGCAACAAACTAAATATCCAAAATAGCTGAATAAATTCTAGAAAATCCCTTCATGGATTATTTTGCAGCTATTAGCAATTATGTCTTATAAAAGTATTTAATCACATGGAATGAGATTCAAGGTATTACTAACTTAAAAAAAAGGTCACCATATATAGATACAAAAATTCCATTTTAGTTTAAAAATATACAGAAGCATTGCACCAAAATTTTACCTATCATAACTCTGGATAGCATGAGTAAAGATTTTATTTTTTTCCTATTGCTCATTTGTCCTTTTTTCTTTAAGACAAAAATGTATACTTTTCAAATAAAAAACGATGGAGCAGACTCTGAAATATCATAATGCATGAAAAGCTATATGTAGGTATTATAGAAACAAATACCTAATATATTTCTATTGTATTATCTTATGCTGTAACAGATTGTTTTGCAAATAGAAAGTTTTGTTTCATCTAGAAATGTTTTTAAAAATCAAATATCAATTAAGGACAACTAAACCCTGGTTTATAAAATGTTACTAAAGGGTGTTTCTACTCACGATATAAGAGTATTTATTCTGAATCTATTTGACCTTTAAGGATTAGAGCTATAATTTTAAAACTACTTAAAAATAGGATCTACGTAGCTACTATAATTCTTACTTCCTAATCATTTATTTTCTATCATTTGCCAGTTGCTGTATGATAAAAGCTATCTCTGGAGCTCAAAGGCACTAACCTTCACAGATAAGCTGTACATTCCTTTTGTTAGCAGCAAGATTAATGCAGAAAGAAATGAGTTCCAAGTCAATTCGTTCATCTGAACACTCAAATAGCATCTTCATTAACTAGCAAAAAGCAGAGGAAATGTTTTATTCAAAAAACCAAAAACACCAGGAGTATTTTATTACAATGTATTATCTTAGATTATATGTTGAGAATAATATAATACAATTATATTTCAACACACAGAAGTTGTAGGCTGTCACTACTGCCTAACTAAATGAATAAATGGTTAATGAACTACGAGATGCTCGGTATTAAATACAAACTACCAAGTACAGTAGAGAATACAAAAGGAATATTAGATACAGCCTTAGCATTTAAGGAATTTAAAATATTGTGTAGAAATAGAGCATTTGAGTAAAGAAAATAGCTTGTACACAGGTTACAAGGTAAGGAAAAACGGAAGGCAAGATGCTTACAGTGAGTGAAACTGTTCAGAGATAAGAAAATAAAAGCCAGATCATGCAGGATCTTGAAGTACATGTTAAAGATGTGGAGCTTCATTATAAGGATAATGGAAAGCCATTAAAGGCTTCTAAATAAGTAAAAAGTCAGGATAAGATTTGTATTTCAAAATGATCTGGCTCATGTGGAAAACAGACTAAAACAGAATATGTGGAAAAACCATCTAAGAGGCTAGAAGAAAATCCAGGTAAGATGATGACTACTTGTGCTAGGTGGGGCTGTAGGGATAGAGATAAAAGGCTGGATTAGAGAAATATTAGGAACAAGAATCAAAATGGGATTTAATAACTGACTAGATGTTGGGGTTACGGGAAAGGGAGGATCAAAGATGACTACCTGGTTTCTGTACTGAGCAACAACATGGATGGTGGTGCTAACACTTACCAAACAAGAGAAACTATAGTAAAACCTTAAAGGGAAGATAGTTTTAGATATGTTGAGTTTAATAGGCTGCCTATGTGACAGTCTGCTTCAGATAGTAAAAGTAATAAATGCAACTCTGAATTTAAAAGAAATGTTTGCATTGGATATTTAGGAATTGTCATATATGGTTGATGCCTGAAGTTGTAGGCTGGATCCAATCATTTGGACATTGGTATAAAATTAGAAAAGAACTCTATTAAGAAGAGAAAGAAAAGGTGGGTCTGAAAAGCAGCAAACAGAAAAGTAGACATCTAAGAAAAGGCAGGCTACTGAAGCCATCCATCAGTAATCTAGATTTGTCATAATGAGATAGTTGCTATAATAAAGGAGAAATGAACAAACCTTATGCTGTAGTTTTGAGAAGCTAGTCTTCTATTATTGGTAAATCAGATTAACTAGTGTACATTATGGAAAGACATTTTTCTCTAAGTCAAATTGCTAATACATAGGGAAGTCAATCCTACAACTTATCACCTAAGCATTTCCTTAGGTCTTGTCTCAGAGCAATACCTTTTTAGATTAACTTGACTTTATGAATCCAGCACAATGCCTTATATATAGTAAGTGAATAATAACTATTTGTTGACTGGTAAGACCCTATTCTGTTAAATCTTGTTTAACTATTCTCTATATTAGTTTCAGATAACTTTTAAGTTTCAAAAAGGATGTATATAACACACAATAATCAATTGTATTTCCATGTGCTAGCAATGAACTGGAAACCAAAATTAAAAACACAGATCCAGAGGGCCTGGGTGGTACAGTCGGTTAAATGTCTGACTCTTGTTTTCAGCTGAGGCACTGATCTCAGGGTCATGATATCGGGCCCTACCTCAAGCTCTGTGCTCAGCTCAGAGTCTTCTAGAGTTTCTCTCTCCTTCCTTCCTTATTTCTTAAAAAAATAAAAACATAGATCTACCTACAATTGCTCAAAAAATTATACTTAGGTAGGTATAATTCTAACAATATTATACTTTTTTATATATACTATATGCTGAAAATTATAAAATACTATAGCAGGTGAATAGTTGGCAATGTATTATGCCTTTTTCCAGAGAGCAACTCTTTAACCACAAGTGTTGCTACAAATGGAATTTTATATAAAAAATCATTAACCCTCAATAATATTACAGAATAAATATATTCTATAGCAAAATTAAAATAATCTTAATCTATTAGATACACATTTAACTAATTTTGCTACCTATTTATTAACTATCGATTAAAAGTAAATTATTAAGTAATAAAAATGTAGGTGACAATCCTCTAATTAATGTTATTAATTTCTATAGATTTCTTCCAGACTTGTATTTATGCAAGAAATTTCTTTACAATAACAAAAATCTCTTATTTCATCAAAGCAAAATATCTGTTGTTATTGACTTGAAATCAGTCTTGTAGCTATGAAAATTGCCCTTACAGATGGGGTTAGAGGTGATCTGTTTAGAAGCTGAGGGGTTTTGTTTTTGGTAATTTTCATGTTAAATCTTGTAAAGTAATCAGGAGCTAGATTTTTAAAAAATAATGCAGTTTGAAATCTTATCCAAATATCACCCCCCCCCGCCACCACCACCATATCAAGAGAAATTAGGACTAAATGTGACTGAAATGTATCATGATATAGAATTAGTTTTTCATAATAGGAAAGGGAAACACTTCAATTTTAATTAAAGCATTCACATTTTAAATAGTTTTGTTCAAACTCCATGCACAACATTATGTCTCTAATTTGGTTGCTACCCATGGCACTTCAAAAGTAAGTGTAATTGCTGACAACTAGGAAATATTAAAACTAGATTTGTTCTGTTTTAACTATGTCCATTGTCATCTTTTACTAATCTAACAGGAAAGCACTAAAAGGGCTTCAGCCTGTGCAATGAAGAGGCAATAGTGTTCAATCAGACAAGTCCCATATTGAGTATCAGATACCAAAGACCCATGACTGAAATCACTGTGTCTAGACTCTCTGGCACCTGACTTCACTTATTTACCAGTGACCAGAGGCCAACCCCCACAGCTCTCTGTATTCACATACACCTCTACTGCCCCCATCCCCCTACCCAAACATCTTTGAATGATTATGGCAGAACTTTGCATGCCTCAGGAATCTCTTCTGACTGGCTACTCCCTAACTCTGCTGTTTGAAGTGATGCTCTGGTTTCTGAACTTCAGCAGATAATGGCAGGCAGGAGCAAAGGGGGCTGTCAGAAAGGACGTTTACCAGCATTCAGCTAAAAAGAAGCATGTAGATCAAAGAGGGGCCAAATAGGACAACTGTGGTGGAAAACATGTGGATCACTATGATTCTTACATACTGTTCTGGGGTAAAATATTAAATAACACCATGACATCATTACCTAAACATGTACTTTGATTGGCCATTCTAATACCAATAAATATTTTTAAAAGCATCTGGATGGCATTTACACCTATTTAAACAAAACGTGCATCTTAGAGGTCTAAATAACAATGAACTGTTAATGTGTGCTTTTAACTATTATTACAATACAACTATTAACTCCTGGTTATCCCCAAGTTTGCTTACCTGTAACAATTCACCCACTGAGACCATTAAGATCATATATAAAGTCAGACTTGCCCTGGACCCCAAATTTTGCAGAATGGTGATGGGGAAAAAATTAGAATATAATGGATAATTAGAGGTACTAAAGTACAAAAGAAAAAGAGCAATATAATACTGGGAGAGATTATGAGGCATATTGAACATATAATCACCTACTCTGAGTTTTAAATAATTTATAGATATATCTTATAAAACACATATAAGAAAGGTAGTATTTAAACTGGACTATGAATGGATCCAAAATAAAGTGAATCATTTGATATTTTACTAACAGTACCTTGCTTTTGTATGGTGTTTTATGGTTTATAAAGCTCCTTTACATAAATGCCTAATGTAATTAAAGAATATGACCATATTCCACATTTTTTGTCATTGAAATGAATATGGATAACTACTGAACCATAACTTTCAAAAAGTTATTTTATTGATTTGACAGTCTTTACTAAACAAAAATTAAGGTGCATAATTTCAAAGATAACCAAGTACTAAATTAACTCTAAGATCCCAAACATCAGATACAGCTTTATTTAAGAAGTAGGTTCATCAATTGCTGTCTCAGAGTTTGGGTTATTTTTTAAGATCTTTTATTTTTATTTTTTTAAAGGTTTATTTATTTATTTTAGAGAAAGACCAAGAGAGAACGAGAAAGCATAAGCAGGGAGAAAGGCAGAGAGAGGGAAAGAGGAAGAGGGAGAGGGGGAGAGGAAGAGAAGAGAGAGAGAGAAAGAGAAAGAGACAGAGCGAAAAAGTGAGAGAGAGAGAGAGAGAGAGAGAGAGAGAGAGAGAGAGAGAGAATCCTCAAGTATACTCACTGCTGAGTCTGGTAGCCTGAGGTGGGGCTCAATCCCAGGACCCTGAGATCATGACCTGAGTTGAAACCAACAGTTGGACACTTAACCAAGCTACCCAGGAGTCCCAAGATTGCATTTTTAAGTTATCTCCACACCCATTGTGGGGCTTGAACTCACAACCCTGAGATCAAGAGTCACACACCTACTGATTGAGCCAGCTGGTGTCTCAACAAATAGTTTAAAGCTTTGCTACTTTTAAAAACATTAATTTGAGTAGGAAAGGAGTATCTTTTTAACTTGAGAAGGAAGCTTGGAAATTGCAATTTAATCCCAGATTTCCTTTCTGCAATTCTGTTATTCTATAATGAATTTGGTACTGGGTGGCAATCAAGTCATGTCAAGTTTTCCCTAAATATGTCAAAACTGAGCCCTAGCAAGTACAAGTTATAGGATGGATAGCATTTTAGGACCAAATATATTCAAAAATATCATTTGGTTTCTCAAAATATGGCCTCATACTAAAAAGCTTCAGGATGTTTATGATGTAATTTGGTAACATCACCTCACTATTCCTATAAGGGTTTAATTTTTATAAAAAAATAAGAGAATGTTGACTACTAATTGAGTTTTGGAAGATTTTATTCATGAAATGTAGTTCATAAATGTTCTGAAATCCCCCATTGCAGAAATGTTTGACGTTAGAAAATCATCAAGAAAACATGCACAAATATTGTTCTTGAAAAGATACGGGAGAATTTTCTACATACAATGTTTTCTTTTTTTTTTAATTTTTATTTCTTTTTGATAGTCACAGAGAGAGAGAGAGAGAGGCAGAGACACAGGCAGAGGGAGAAGCAGGCTCCATGCACCGGGAGCCCGACGTGGGATTCGATCCCAGGTCTCCAGGATCGCGCCCTGGGCCAAAGGCAGGCGCCAAACCACTGCGCCACCCAGGGATCCCCATACAATGTTTCAACTGCAATAATAATGTAGTAGAAATGACCTAAACATTAGGCTCTTATTTCCACTTCCTTTTTTATTTTTTTTTAAAGATTTTATTTATTTATTCATGAGAGACACACACACACACAGAGAGAGAGGCAGAGACACAGGCAGAGGGAGAAGCAGGCTTTCTGTAGGGAGCCCAATATAGGACTCAATCCCATGAGCCAAAGGCAGATGCTCAACCACTGAGCCACCCAGCTGTCCCTCCACTTCTTTATTTAAAATAAAGTTGTATGTCTCACATTTGGGATTATACATTGTAAAAGAGGACAACTCCAAATGGAAGATTCAACAAAATAAGTTTTCTGTACCTTTTTATTTTACATTTATTTCTTTTTTTTTATTTACTGTTATTTTCTTTAAAATCTAATCTGGGTAAAAATAGTCAATCTAGACAAGAATATTGTTCTTTTTTGGCTGCTTTCCAATTCATATCCTGTAGTCAATGAAGTTCTGACACTAAATGGGATTAGAAAAGGAACACCCTTTGAAACTGCAAAGCAGAAACCCTTGGAACATATGGAGTGAGACTGTAGTAAATCACCTGTAATCTCCCTTTGACATGGCTACTCTTTTATTGAAAACTTGTTTGACAAAGAGTTTGATTACACTTTGCATTGGCTAGAGTCTGACATGTGTTATCTCTATAAGAAGTCTTGCCTTGTTAGATAAGATATGCCGTAGATTCTTTGAAGAATGTCTATTTCCTATAAACATAATTAGTTTATCCTATTGATATAAAAGGATAAGAAATTACCCTTGAGAGTTTATCAGTTTTCCAAATGCATGTAGATAAAGTATAAAATTCTGGAATAGTAAACTTAATTTTAGAACCATCTCACTAATTTATCTTAATTATCTTCCAAGTAATATACATTCAGTAACTTACTTTAGACTAGAATTGTCTAGTGAGAGTCTTAAGAGGAATTACTTTAGTAAGTGTGACTTACTATTTATTGTTTTTTTAAAGTGGCATTTTTATTGTTTACATCTTGCAATTTTGCTTTTATTTTAGAAAACCATTTTATTAAAAATAATGTAATATTAAAAACCAGACCAACCAGGGGTCCAAACATCACATATTCAAGTTAGTGGAGCTCAGTTTAATAAAAATTGATGGCACAATAGTGATTCTGTGACTATAAATTCCCTAAGAGTAAAATGTATATATGTATAGAATCTCTACCCTTACAACATAATCCATGTAAAAAAAAATCACTAAACTCCTCCAAGACAAAGAGGTCTAACATATGAAATATATCAAGCAACTCAGTCATAACAAAATCTTTTTTAAGAATGGTACTATAAAGGTAAAAGAATTTTGATAAAGCATTTTCCCATCAGAGAATGCAAAGCATTTAAAATAATTGAGCATAAATAAAATGAAAAGTTAAAGTTAGGAACTATTTATTATATCACAAAGAAATAAAACAGTTATTTCATATATAGATCTCATTTATTAAACCTAAAAACCAACATGTCAATGGAAAAATTGGTAAAATACATGAATAAGTAATTTATAAGTAATGTGGATAATAAACATACAAATAAATGTTTGACCTCACCAATATGCATGGGAATACAAATAAAAAGAAATAAAAACACTCCATTTTTAGAGAAATGGTACTAGCCAGTGTTGTTAAAAATATTGTTAAAAGTGAAATGCTAGGAAACAGCTCAAGTGTCCATCAACAGATGAATGGATAAAAAAGATATGGTGTGTAGATGTGTGTAATATATATATATATGTGTGTGTGTGTGTATATTTATGTATATACATCATATATAAATGATGGAGTATTAGTCAAAAAGAATGAAATCTTGCCATTTGCAATGACATGGATAGAGCTTGAGAGTATAAATGCTAGGTAAAATAATTCAGTCAAAAAAAGACAAATACCATATAATTTCACTCATGTGGAATTTAAGAAACAAATGAGCAAAAGAAAAAAAAGAGAGAAATAAGCCAATCAATAGACACTTAATTATAGAGAACTGATAGTTACCAGAGGATGTGTGTGTGTGTGTGTGTGTGTGTATGTGCGTGTGTGTGTGGGGGGGGGGTTGGTGAAATAGATGATGGGGATTAAGGAGTGCACTTGTGATGAGCACTGGGTGATCTATGAAATGTTGAATTACTATTCTACATCTGATATAGCACTTTATATTAACTATACTGGAATTAAAATGAAATAAATGAAAAAAGTGAAATCCTAAATACAAACATACCTTCCTAGAAGATAATATGTCAAATGCACAAATATTCATACCTTTTGACTTAGTAATTCTACTTTTAGGAATTTAAAGAATAATCAGAGATGTGGATAAACATTTGCATACTATGATATTTATTCCACATTATTTCATTTGTTTATATATATTGCTTACACCTATTTTTATGTGATAAACTGGAAAAATTACATATACAATTTAACAATTTTAAAATCATGATACATTTATGCAATAGAGTATTATACAACTATCAGAAATAATTTATTTTATTTATTTTTTAAAAGATTTATTTATTCATTCATGAGAGAGAAGAGAGGCAGAGACATGGGCAGAGAGAGAAGCAGGCTCCTCCCAGGGAGCCCATGTGCGACTTGATCCCTGCACCTGGGATCATGCCCTGAGTCAAAGGCAGATGCTCAACCACTGAGCCACCCAGGCATCCCTCAGAAACAGCTTTTGAAGGCTGTTCAATGACATGGGAGAATATATTATGACCTAAAGTAAATAAATATATAATAATATATAGCATACAATCTCAATATACTATTTTTTTAACTATCCAGAAGGAAATATACTAAAGTATTAAATGTTTATCTTTGGGTCTGGGATAACAGACAGTTATTTTCATTTTTATACTGTTCTGTACTTTCCAATTTTCTATCACAAATTCATATTACTTTTAAGGGGGAATTTTTAAAGGAAAAATGTATCTGAAAAATCAAGAGAACAAAGTGAAAAATAACCTAATTTTTTAATGCTTAAAAAAAAACACTGAAACCACTTACCTGGGGTATACAGTCAGTGTATGCAAACATTGATTTAAAGCGGTCATCCATGCTTATGTGGTAAAGAACACACATTGCTATTTGTTTGTAGTTTTCATTACCTGGGCATAAGAAATCAAAGATATGATTAAATCATGGATACAATGAATTTTCTTGGTATAACCACTCAAATGAATACATTAAAAACTCCTGAATCAAATCATTACAAACTCCTGATTTAGAAAATATTCTGAGTTCCCCATTTCAATCCTAATGTTTGGAATATACTGTCTGTGATATATCACTAATATCCAAGAGATAATATGTATTTTGCAAGGCACGTTTGTAAAAATAATTAACCACAAACCAATGAATTTATCATTTTTATTGCCTACCATAAAATAGATTGGGTTACTGGCCTCCCCACCCTTACTCTTCCATCAAAATATGTGATTAACACAGTTCTTAAGAATAATAATATATGAAAAATAGTAAGCCAAAAGTATTTAATTCCTGTGAATCAGAAGCTGGAAAAATAATCTAAATGATAAAAAAGTGCAATAGGTATTTGTAACATTAAAAAATACATGACTATAAAATGTTAAGGGCTATGAACTAAGCATACTCTAAGGGCTGCCTCAGAACTGCAGAGGTCAGGTGATTCTTGCCATATACACCTTGAAACTGAGAGAAGAGCAGCAAATGATATATACTGAAAAATAAAATGAGATTCTTATATATCATGCAATTCTTCTACTTGTTTTTAGGTAGGTCATATTTTAAGGAACTATTTATGAACTCCAAGTCAGAAATAGAATTAGAGAAGTGGTTTAACTAAAAAGGTTCTTTAAAGATTTTATTTATTTATTCATGAGAGACAGAGAGAGGCAGAGACATAAGCAGAGGGAGAAGCAGGCTCCCCGCAGGAGCCCAATGTGGGACTCGATCCCAGGACCCCAGGATCACGACCTGAGCCAAAAGCAGATGCTCAACCTCTGAGGTGTCCCTAACAAAATAAAGTTTTATTCAAAAAACAGTATCCTGAGAAATCTTTGAAGATATCCAGAGTTTAAAAAAATCAAGCAGGTAAGTGAATTTAATTGATAAATAGTGTATAAAGATTTTAAATATGTTTTAACATGGAGGATACATTTTCTAACTTTATCTTTGTGTCCATCATACCATAAAATTACTAAAATACTTAAATGTTTTTTTTTAAATCATTTTGGGGATCCCTGGGTGGCTTGGCGGTTTGCCACCTGCCTTGGCCCAGGGCATGATCCTGGGGTCCTGTGATCGAGTCCTACATCAGGCTCCCTGCATGGAGCCTGCTTCTCCCTCTGCCTGTGTCTCTGCCTCTCTCTCTCTCTCTCTCTCTCTCTCTCTCTCTCTCATGAATAAGTAAATAAAATCTTAAAAAAAAGATTAAAAAAATAAAAATATATAAAATTGTTTTGGATTCTGATTGAAGTTTTCATATATTAGGCATCTTTTTTTTAATAAAGATTTTATTTGTTTGGGAGAGAGAAAGAGAGAGCATGCATGAGCTGCAGGGAGAGGGGAAGGGGTAGTAGAGAGAGGGAGAAGCAGACTCCTTGCAGAGCAGAGAGCCCAACATGGTGCTTGATTCCAGCGCCCCAAGTATCATAACCTGAGCCAAGGGCAGACCCTTAACCAACTGAGTCACCCAGGCGCCCCTAATAGGCATATCTTTAAGATGGTTAGAAATTCTTAGAGGACATGAACTTTGGTATTCTCTCAAGGCTTAGTAGGCCATATAGAAGTTTCCTAATAAATATCTGCTGACTGATTTTACTTTTAGTATTTAAACAGCATAATGACTTAACATTCCCATATTGCAAATTTGAAAGTTATTAAGAGTAAATCTTAAAGATTCTTACCTCCGCCCCACACACAGAGTAACAATGGAAGGTGATGGATGTGTTAACTAATCTTATTGTGGTAATTATTTTGGAATATATACATACATCAAATCCTTATATCCTAATGTTTTATGTTAATTAATCTCAGTAAAGCTGGGGGAAAAAAGAGTAATGTTACATTAAAAAATCAGAGGCTGGGCAGCCCAGGTGGCTCAGCGGTTTAGCGCCACCTTCAGCCCAGGGTGTGATTCTGGAAACCCGGGATCGAGTCCCACGTCCAGCTCCCTGCATGGAGCCTGCTGCTCTCTCTGCCTGTGTCTCTGCCTCTCTCTCTCTCTCTCTCTGTGTGTGTCTCTCATGAATAAATAAAATCTTAAAAAAAAATCAGAGGCTAAAACATAATAAACTAATGATAATGTATATATAATAATATAATTTATATAATGATAATATATGTATTACCTTATATACATACATGTATATACGCACATATATATAGCTTCCAAAGGATAGCTCAAAGGATATGCAATAGAATAGGAGGTCTGGAGAAGAGTCTTAAAATTATAGTTCTAAAACCCAGATGAATAACATATGAAAAAAACAGATCTCAGCTGTAACAATAACTTACATTACCTTTTAACACACCAAAACTAAATATCTAGTTTGATGAAGTAGAATGAATCATTCTGCAGCCAGTCCTGAGTCTGTACTTGGGTGCTTTCTCTTTCTCCTCCCTTTGTACTCATGGCCAAAGGTAAAAGTTCCTTGCAGTTCTCCATACCTTCCTAATTCTTCTCAATCTATGATCCTCCATTAAAAAAAGAATCTCTGAACATCTCCCAAGTTTCCCATAATCATTTGTTTCCCTCATAATCTTTACCTAAAATAATTATCATGCCCCACAGCATGTCAAAAACTAAAGGGCTGGGATCCCTGGGTGGCGCAGCAGTTTGGCGCCTGCCTTTGGCCCAGGGCGCGATCCTGGAGACCCGGGGTCGAGTCCCACATCGGGCTCCCGGTGCATGGAGCCTGCTTCTCCCTCTGCCTGTGTCTCTGCCTCTCTCTCTTTCTCTCTCTGTGACTATCATAAATAAATAAAAATTTAAAAAAAAACGAAAGGGCTGAGAGGAAACAGAAGTCACAGGCAAACCATGCTGTCCTGAGAGACTGTGGACAGATGATCTTTTTATAATCATAGTTCTTTGAGAAAAGAAGAAAGAAAAAGGGTTAAACAAACAGCGATATTGTTCCTATTGTATGGTAAGCATACATTTTCTTACATATTCTTCTAGCAACTGAAGAGATAGGTATTCTCTTCAATTTGGAGATGAGGCAATGATATTCATCAAGCAATGATATTCCTTCAAAAGGAAAAACTGCTGTGAATTTCAGATTCAAATCCAGGTGTGACTACATAGCCTGTTTGTGGACTTTCTATTAAGTCTTCCAAGAGGCAGCAGAAGAGTACAAAATCATTCCTTAGTGACACAGTACAGAAAGGAGATAACATTAGAAGGGACTGGAAGTCCTGGGAAGTCCTGGGAAGATCTGGTAGTCTTGGGAAAGGGAGGAAGGTGGCAGAAGAGGGGAAGAAAAAAGACAAAATGCAGAACAATCAGTTATTTATTGGAGGACCTGTGCCCAGATACAGTAAGTTCTAAAGGATGAAAGAAGTTCTTGACAGGGACAAATTGCATTATCCCCCCAGCAGTTTTGGGAACTAGATTTTTAGCAATTCTGAAACTCACTTTCACTAAATTGGACAAGAACTGTTAGCAAGCAGTGTTTGATTTTATGAGAAAAACAAGGTGCTTTTTAGAAGCTTAAAAGATGAGTAGAGTGGTTAATAGGTAGTATAACATTGTAGTTAAGAGCTCAGGGTCTGGAGAGGCAGACTGCTGGGGTTCAATTTGTGATTCTTTCACTTGCTATACAGTCTGTGAGTGTTATTTAAACTCTGTGCTTCAGTTTCTTTCTTTGTATGTGTACACTTCAGTTTCTTAATCAATGAAATTGATAGAACTGTACCTAACTCAAAGAGTTGTTATGTAGGATTAGTTAAGAGAATCCTGGTAAAGCAATTAATACTGAATCTTACTGACACAATAATAAACCTATTCAGTAAATATCATTCCTTACTATAATTATGTGAATAAGAATGTTTTTTGATTTGACCAACAGGACACTACTATCATGTGCCCCTACTACATATAGTGGGTTTTTCCAGTCTCAAAATTAGATCACAGTTAAGAGGAAAAGCAGTTTTGAAAAGCAGCTGAGATTTCTCTAAGATAAGCTAGACAGGGTTCAGGTACATTCTGATCCTGTGGCTGAGCCACTTGTCCTACTCAGTCCCTTTCTAAAAAGCTCTACTATTTCCTAAATATAGGCTTAGGAGAGTTACCCTATACTACAAGACTCCCTCAGTGACCCATATCTCACAAGAACCCTTCACCATTCTCTCATTCTTACAGGGTTATTTTAAATTCCTTAACAAAAATAAAACTTGAGAAAGTTTTATTATAAATAAATAAAATAACCAAAATATAATAACCAAATAAAATAACCAAAGTATAGATTCAGTACATGTTCCCGCTCCACCACTACCACAAATGCACTGCGAATCTCTCATCTGTCTTCCATGTTTCTGTATCTGTAATGGAACTTAATTTCACTCTTAAAATAGGAAATTTTAGGGATCCCTGGGTGGCGCAGCGGTTTAGCGCCTGCCTTTGGCCCAGGGCGCGATCCTGGAGACCCGGGATCGAATCCCACATCGGGCTCCCGGTGCATGGAGCCTGGTTCTCCCTCTGCCTGTGTCTCTGCCTCTCTCTCTCTCTCTCTGTGACTATCATAAATAAATAAATAAAAATTAAAAAAAAATAGGAAATTTTAGAGGTGATCGGCTACCAAGAAGGTGAAAGGATACAGAGAGAAGTCTGAGGACACTGAAGACAAATCTCACAGTGAGGTACATTACTTATTTAAGTAGCATGTCCCATATTTCCCCCACACCCCTGCCCCCTTGCTTGGGCTAAGAACAACTGAACAAAAGAAACTGGAATATGACTGACATTACACCCAGAGATCTTTTTTTTTTTTTTTTGGTCTTGAGGAATGTGTGAAGGGAAAGGATGACAGATCTAAGGAACTACAATATTGTACTCAGAGGTCAACATTAACACAAGTTGCTGATATGTCTTCTGGATTTTGTCCGGTTAAAGATTCCCTAGAATCCA